CCACCCCCCCCCCCCCACCCCCCTCCCCCATCCCCCATCCCCCTCCCTACCTCGACAATCCGTCAATCTCGACAATAAGTGAAAAAAATTTGCTTCCTTTTCGTCGACGTCAAATTTGAAACTTTGACTTTTTATCGACAGAGTAGTTGGGGTGGACCAAGTGTGAGAGTATAGAGGCATAGAGGAGAGTGACAGGGCCATTGATTCACTGCTACAAATTCATTTTAAAATGTTTGTTAACAGTCAACAAGAATGTGTAATAAATGCAGAAATAAATGGAAGATTATTATTATGTATGCTAAACTAAATAAAAATGTGCGTGAAATAAATCATAAATTTTTAATGTTTAATAGTATAATCGTAAATTTCTACTGTTGCTCTATTAATTTAAAAGGTTTGAACAAATAGAAAACTACAAGAAGTTACATGTACACGTTTCATCATTCAAAGAATTTAAAATCTTTATCATTAAAAAGTATGATTTATTGCAATGAGAAATAGTTAACTTTTATAATTATAATTACGATGTTGATAAAGGTTTTTCTTTGCCCGTTGCTGTATGGTCGCGTATGTTTCTTTACATTATTCGCTATTAACTTTAGCAGCCATTCATAATTTTGAAAAGTTCGATACAACAATAGGATATCATACATCATTAATCTCCGTAAATGAAATGCTTGAGATTGCTGAGTTAATTCGGGCGTAAAAGTATAAAAGCAAATTTCGACGATCAATTTATTAACTGCATTGCATTTCCTAAATTGAAAACTCAATTTTTCTTTTCCTTCAGCTCAATGACGCACAATTTTCATTACCATAATTGTAATTCTTTTAATATACTTTATTACGTACGACAGCTTCCCTGGAATTTTTCATATATTCTTGACGACAATGCTTTTCGTTGGCTCAAGTTGCTTTTATAGTAGAATTTATGCGATAGAGACTTGGGGACTCTCAATAAACCATGATGATGCGCACATTCTAAATCTCAATCAAGTTGAAAATTGACTTATGCCGAGGATTATTGCACGTATTCGCTTAATCGATAGATCTTTACCGTTGGGAGATCAACAGCTTTCTAAAGATAAGGCATATCCGACAATGACTAGTGTACATACACCAACTAATTTTACCGGTATAATTGACTTTTGAGCATACGAGATGATTCGATGGAATGCGAATCATTTAACTTATGTTAAATGTCGATTTATACGAAGGTAAGTGAAGTGGTAAACGTCCTCCGTTAAGACATCAGATGGAAATACGCGCAAAGGATGGACAAACCGATTAGACGAAAACTCATCGGTGAATGATATTTAGAGTGCAAAGAAACATGAATTATACTACCCTCCGTACGAGAGCAACAAACATATAAAACTTTTTCTTAGTCAAATTTCAATTTCTACACTTTGTAATACAATGTAGTAGTTACAAGTGTATGAATAGTCAAAATTCACCAAATGATCATTTAAATTAACAAAAGAATAAGAAGAAGAAGAAGAAGAAGAAGGAGATAAAGAAAAAGACAACCATAATATATTTTATCAGAGACGATAACATTTTTCTCTTTCAAACTTTAACTTCAAACTTTCCCGGATAATATTAAGATGACGTCAATTTGAATTTTTATACTTTTTAATACCTGACGATCAATTTCCATATAAATTCATAATATTATGCACTTTTATACTAATCGATTTTTAAAAATCAACTGACATTCAGAATACAAAAACCTCCATCGATATCTATCATTTTGAATTATGAAAGAAAAGTATTACGTTTTTTCCAAAACTGTATTTTGAGACTTAATATTGTACAACGAAGGATAACTAGTACAATAAACAATTAATATGGCTATATATGTGACTGGGACCTTTTTTTTTTAATATCAAGTAAAATACCGTATATTTATTTTTATGTTTTTTAATGTAGCAAATACTTCATTATAAAAATATGAATATATAAGCGACTAACAGTTTTCGTATGTGCACATTATTTCTTTGTCAATTATTGTAATTTTTGCATTATATATATATATATATATATATATATATATATATATATATATTATGACTAACAAAATTCTTTGCATTTCATTAATTTTCTGTTCCATATGGATTTGAATATTGGCGATTAACGTTTCTTTTAAAGAGTATATATTTACTAAAAATATATGTAAAATTTATGCCGACGACGGTGAAATACAATATATATATATATATATATATATATATATATACACGTATATATGTATGTATGAAAAGGCTGAAGTAATCCATTGCCCAGGACGAAGGTGAAGGGCACAGATGGAAATATCTTGTCTCATAATTCCAGCTGGTCTTAAGTCGTGCGGCGTCAATGGGAATTGCAAGGAATCAAATGGGAAATGCCCAGACCTCGGATCGTTGTCAAGTGGAAGCTCCATCGTGACTATTTGCTCGGTCACGAATTCCGAGCCTGATCCAGAGCCCGATTATCCCACGGGCGATGGCGCCGATGATCCACCGAAGAAGAAAAAGAAAAGCCGCCTCATCATCGACGAGACGTGGTACCATACGGGATTACAAATCGCGGTGCCATTCTTCATTGCCGGAATTGGCACGATTGGAGCGGGTCTTGTTCTCGCGACGGTCAAGGTAAATGCTTTGCCTCGCTCCAGCTTCCTTGATATTTCATGGCAATGGTTGCCTTAGGCACGAGCTCCTCTCATATTCATTACGTCACGTACATTATGGCGGAAGAGACGAATGAGACACCTTGCCGTCTTCGTCTCTCCTCATTGGCAAAAGTCAAACTCATTAATCGACCGGATTGAAGCGATCGGGTAGTAATGGTACATATTTATGACAAAACGACACTTATTCGCCATTGTATTTTTTTTTTTTTTTTTCGGCTTGCAAAAAGACTTCATAATAATTGCATAATAATAAAGATAAATGATTCATCGGACGGGAGATGTTAGTTTATCCAATAAAAAGTATAATTCGATTACAATAATCATAATACACGAATCATTTGTTCTCGAATTAATTGTTATTACGTGTTCATTAATGTTACAATGATAATTATAGCGATAAACAAATTGATCGATAAAACTAATTGATTTGCTCATTACAATATGCCATAAATCTAGATGCTATTAATTCATTAAGAAGGTTTTTTTCTTTTTTTTTTTTTTTTTTTTCTGATCGTATAATAAAAATTAACATACTCTAAACAATAACGCGTCGCCTCTTTAATTTAAATTTAAATATTTTATTTGCACTATTCGTTGAAAATTGGTCCATTCAATATTTCACTATATCAGTTTATGTAATATTTAGTTGTTCATTATAATCTTTACTAATCTGCAAACTCATTAATCTACGCAACTTTTAATGCACGATTGATAAATAAACTCGAAAAATAATATTAAACATGAATATTAGATGCGCGTGTTTACCATTTTCTAAAGTAACTTCTCGTAACAACTGAAATGTACGTGGGCGCGTGTGCTAATTATTTCGGCGATATTATTTTTACAAAAAAATTATTGTCAAATTATTGAGAGAAAAAAAATCATTGAAAGCCACGGATGCTTGAGATGAGCTAGCTGATTACTGGCCCCTTGCACCTTCCTTCACCACCATTGACATTAATTGCTTTTAATAAACGTTTGTCGAATTATTTCTCCTACAGGATTGGCTTGTCTTTAAAAAAGTATCGCAAATCTTCATCCTGATACCAGCGCTCCTCGGCTTAAAAGGAAATCTCGACATGTGCCTGGCGTCGAGACTGAGTACCCAGGCGAATTTAGGCAACATGAAAAACTACCGAGAAGTATTGAAAATGATAATCGGCAATATAGCTCTCGTGCAAGTGCAAGCTATCGTCGCTGCATTGCTAGTCGCTATATTCGCAACTGCCGTTGGTACGATTATGGATGGCAATATTTCCTGGGATCACTCGTTGCTGTTGATAACATCCAGCATATGTACGGCCACTAGTTCCTGCTTTATATTAGGCAAGTTGATTATCCAATTCTTTTGCAGATATTCCTTGTGTCGCTCCTATTTCCTTCTTTCCTTTAATAAATCATCCTTTTTGAAATTCGTCATTAAGAAAACAAAAAAACAAAAAATGAATAAAAAAAAAAACAAAAAAATTCATTTTCGTAACGAAACGCATAATTTTTTTTTTTTTATGTAATTAAAGCAATATATTAATAATTTTAAGCGCGTAAGTTAAGAAACTTATTACTCTAGTCTACTTATTTAATTCAATTTATATTGATTTAGATTTCGCCATGATTGCGGTAATTATGGGAGCGCATTATATGAAGATGAATCCAGATAATTTGGCCACACCATTAGCGGCGTCGATTGGCGATGTTGTTTCGATTAGTGTTTTGTCAACTATAGCTTCGCATTTATTTTTAAAGCTCGAAACTGATATCTGGATTTTCTACACAATAATCCTTATATTTTTTATACTTCTTCCAATTTGGATCTGCATCGTTTTAAAAAATAAATACACGAGAAATGTATTAACGTCTGGCTGGACTCCAGTTATTTCCGCGCTCTTCATCAGTGGGTGAGTTTTCAAAAAAAGAAATGAAAATTAAATGATAGGGGATATCGTTGATTCCACTTCATTATCTAATAGCTATAATAATCAATATATAACACAATAGACACACAAATTTATATGAATAAATATGAATGAAATATTGATTTTTACTCCCCTTGATTCTTATTCGACTCATTAAAATTCTAGCAAAAGTACGATAAATCTTAATTAAAGTGTATTTTTTAAGGCTTAAAACGACTGATTCAATACTGTCTGTATAATCCAATGGATAATACGAACATTAATTCATCCTTTCCTTATTCTTGATAATCTTATTATTTATATTTAGTATAAAAAATAGTTATATATAAATATATATATATATATATATATATATATATATATATATATATATATATATATATATATATATATATATATATAGATGGCATCTCTGGTGATAAAGAGACTTTTGAAATTAAGCTGAAATTAATTAATTAAATAGCTTGTTAGGGTATTGTAAATTTATTTGTCTTTTTTACAGCGTAATAAATCATTGCAAAATTAAAAAAACTTGCACCAATTTATAAATGATAAATATTATTAAACACACTCGAATCGATTGATGTCTGTGCAGTCTCGGTGGCTTGATCCTTGATCAAGCTGTTGACAATCTCAAAGGCTTCGTCATCTTTCAACCGATCATTAACGGAATCGGCGGCAATTTAGTATCCGTTCAAGCTTCTAGAATCTCGACGATGTTGCATCAGTCGACGCTTATTGGAATCTTGCCGCCGTGGACGAAGACGTGGGTCACACCGTGGACGGCTCTATTCCGTGGAAGTAAGTTGGCAGCAATTCAATTAATAAAATTGCCATTGTTAACTAACACGATCAATGCGGCTCGCAATCGCCTCTATACTCGTCTCTATTGCATCCAAGAGATAAAGAATGGTTTTGTTAAGAACATTGCATCATTTGTCATTTTCAGCGCCCTCGGCTAAAACGTCAAGACTCCTCATCGGCATGTCGATACCTGGTCATTTGGTATTTTCATTTGCTGCCGATTATATACAATGGGGCCATTCAACGATACACATTTACTTTGTGCTATCATATTTGACTGTAGCCGTCTTACAGGTACGTAAGAATTTCATACGAACCTCGCTCATATCCATCATTCTCATCGTTTTTTTTTTGTTTTTTTTTTTTTTTTTTTTTAAATTTGTCCACAATATACAATGCACATCTACGTACATTAAAAAGCTTTTTAATTCGGTTATTGCGATCGATTGTAATGACATGAAATTACACGATAAATACAAAGATAATTAAAACAACAGCAACAACAACAACAACAACGACGACGACGACGACGAAGACGAAGACGACGACGACGACGAAGACGAAGACGAAAACGACGACGAAGACGAAGACGACGACGACGACGAAGACGAAGACGACGACGACGACGAAGACGAAGACGACGACGACGACGAAGCGACGACGACGACGACGACGACAACGACGACGACAACGACAACAACGACAAATAAATAAATAAAATAACTTAAAAACTTACCGTCACTTTGCAGTTACGACACTTCTAATTTTTTTCCACTTTTCTTGCTCGCAGATAATGCTGTTACTGTACGTCGCGCATATAATGATTCACGCAATGTGGAAGTACAAGATTGACCCTGATAATTCAGCAATCCCTTACTTAACTGCACTGGGCGACCTGACTGGTTCATTGCTGTTGGCAGTGGCCTTTTTGTTCCTCCGCAATATCAACAAGGAATACCAAACTTAATGTTAAATACCCTTCCTAATGTTAATCGTGTAAAAATTGTCAAGATCAATGAGATTTTCTTTTCAATTGAAGAAGAAAAGCGAACGGCCGAAAAAGACATCTGTTCTTTGCAAATTGTTATTTTTTTTTACAAATCACAGATTGTAACAAAGCGACCGTTTGCCGCATTATAAATGAGAATTTGGAAGTCTCAATATGCAGAAAAATCGTCGTTGTGATAAGATTATACCGCGATCGCCTTTGATTTATTAACGGTTATCTCATGTCCGTGCGCACACACACATATATATATATATATATACATACACACATAGATATGTATGCGTGCGTGTGTGCGTGTGTGCGTGCGTGTACATACATAACCAAAAAATCGACCAGTAGTACAAAATATAAAAGAGCACAGTAATATGTGCAATTATTAGTCATACGTTACACATCAATTACTTTATATAAACACGTTTTCACTTTTTGTCAGTTTTTTAAATGCAAATAGATTATAATAAAACACGATACAATATTTTAGCACTATTTTTAAAAAATGTTTTATTCTATCTTTAAAGAATAGTCTTTATTCTTACAATTAATTATGTAGCTTTTTGACTTAATATGTTATGCATGTAATATAATGGATATTTTAATTTATCATGTACAGAGTTTGCACTATTTAAAATACAAACAAACCAAAAAAGCGAGCGTATTAAATTAAAGTAAATTTTGCTTGACGTTGAGATGTCATCGGTAATGACCTTTTACGTCACTAGAATGTAGTCCAAAATGTTTTACAATTGAGAATCAAGAGAATCAAGAGATTAACAAAAAATACAAGAAATAGATAAACAATAAAGTCTGCATAAAAACCATATGGTCAGTAGTACAATTAAAAGTCAAAGTTAGTACGAATGACGAATTTAAACTCATTAATAAGCCAGTCGAGAGTGTTGTTAGCATCTTAATGCGCTGACACCGACAATTTCTTTTATCATATCAATTAATACATCGACGTTGTCGACGCGTTGGAGTGCCAAGTAAAAGTAAAATATGCAGCTTCCTTATCAGCCCCCTTACGATGCTTTAGCATAACATTGTACTATTTGAAATGCATACAATAATTATGATAACGATGATAATTGTAATGATAATAATAATGATGATGATGATAATAATAATAATAATAATAATAATAATGATAATGATAATAATAATGATAATAATAATGATAATGATAATAACAATAATAATAATAATAATATTGATAATAATATTGATAATAATAATGATAATATTGATAATGTATTAGAATATTAGTTTAAATTTTGTTCGTTATCATGTCGTGGTCCGTTGAGAAAGCTGCACAATTGAACAATTCACGTTTGTAAATACAATGAAAAAAGCAAAACTAAAAAAAAACAAAGAAAAAACAAAAAACAAAAAACGGTATTAAATGATCGGGGACTCTTTATAGCAGTTCCAAGGCATTGAAATAAAACGAAAGTTCAAGGTTGTTTAAGATATTATGCACCGATCATTATCCGTTACTTAAGATTATCCTTCACGTTGGTACGAACACAATAACATTCTACCGAATACACAATATGCTACATTTTTAAATAGTTCATCTTATAGTGCCTTAAGGAGTAACGATAATAACTATCGATTATCATTGTAATAAGAATTGCTCTGCATAATAATAATAATTGTTATTATACAAAAGTATTGAAAACCAACAGTTTTTCGTAAAACGTAGCAGTCGAGAATAAAAAAAAGTTTCATTTTTGATACAATAATGATACACACTGCTGTTACTCGCAATCAGGAATTACTGCTATTTTTAAATAAATAAAATTTCACACTCAATTAACAAGGAGCACCTTATTCTTATTTTTCATTAAGAAAAAAAATTAAAAAAAAATAGCCGGCATTAGAATAGAAGACAATAGAAGTCACAACCTCACGGTACTTTCATTAAAAACAGATATTTTCTGATTATCATATATATGTATATATATATATATATATATATATATATATATATATATATATAGGTAGAGACCATAATATCCAAAGAGAATGCACATCGTCAAGCGTACAGATCAGTATTACAATATGTTAAGGCGCGAGTAAAGAGGAGTCACAAGGGCGTTTGTCATTAATCGCGCCTAAAATAAAGTACAAGAGCCAATTCAGCTTGTATTTGATTATTAAAAAGTGTAATAAAAAGAGAAAAGAGTCGAGAGATTGAATAAAGAGGCGTGTACGTTACTTTCCTACCCCCGAGTTAGCCGCGCAACTCGCGACGTCGACACGAGATGGTGAACGAACGGTATCGAGCCGCGCAGTGCACGCGCCTGTCCACTTCGACGAGGCGTGTGCCGAGCGTCCGTCATCGGTTGCACGAGGATGCCATATAGGTGCCGTTATCCGGACGAGCGACGCCGCCACGTGCAGGCTACGTAACGCCGCAGAGACCCTAGCGATGTCCCCCGGAGGCCGACGACGGGCTTCCCGGACGTCAGAGCGGTCGCCGCCACCGTCGCTGAAATATGTGCCAGTGCCGCTATGGTGAGTGAACGGCTGTCTGGGCTGCGCCAGGAGTCCCTCGTCGACGGACTCTTCCCGGGGGATAGTGACGCGGCCGGTTTTGTGATCCCGTTACCGGATCTACCGATCCCCATTGTCGTACCGTGAATGCGAGTATACGGCCACTCGAGAACATCCTCGATGGTTCTCCATTATTCTTGCTTTGTTCCTTCCTTCCTTCCTCTCTCTCTCTCTCTCTCGCTCGCTCGCTACCTCTCCCTCTCACACTCTGACGCAATAATCGTTGAACTTTAAGGTTTTCGCGCGACTAGTTTACGGCTTATCGATCTTCGCGGCTACTCAACCAACTCAACCATTACTGCTCTCTTTTTAATCAGACGCGCAATTATTGCACTCTGGCCTCGAGAATTCCGGATGGAAATTAGTGAATTTTTCGGCAATGGTGAAGTGAAAATTTTATGCAAAGTTCACGCTCAAAGTGCAACTGCAAAATGGAAATACTAATATAATTATTGCAAATGAGGCGGGTAATAGGTTTGTTGAATAAAGCTTCAATTAACTTACATTAATAAACTCGGAAATCATCATTCCACGTGTTATCCTACAAATCATTCCACGATTTTACGTATTTTATAATCTGCCTGAACCTCCTTATTTGTCGTAAATTTTCATATCAAACGATATTGAGCTTCAATACAATGATACTAAATAGTGAAATGATAACATTGAAATTAATTGCGTTCGCGTTAAGTGAATTCACAAATATTACACCCAAGATAATTATTTTACAATTTTAACGTTTTTTGGTATATTCTCTCTCTCTCTCTCTCTCTCTCTTTTACAATTGTTTTTTTTTTTTTTTTTTTTTTTGGTTAATAATAATATCTTTAACAATACCTTGTGTCTTTACACTATAAAAATTATCGACTCGACAACGTCTATTTTAAAACCTTCTACTGGATTAATGATTTGCTTGTAAACAGACAATTTTTTATCTCATTTATTAAATCATAATACATACTTTTATTAAATTTTTTTCGCTTTCTCTGCAATTTTCTTAACTTGATTTATTTTTACTCCTCAAATTAACTAATCAATTTTAATATTTCCTTTGCACTTGTTTACTCGTTTTCTAGATACATTGCCTACCCACGTAAATTGCCATATTTTGTAATTTTATATAAAAACCGTCTCTTCCTTAAATTGAAGACTTAAAATAAAAAAAGTCGAAAATAATTTGATATCTATTAAAACTATCTTACAGTTAGATATAAAGTATTGTAAATTGCATATACAATGTTATTTATGATTTTATGCTTCCAAGGTCTCTCGATATCATTATTCGTCAAAATAAAAAATTAAATTTCAATTGTACCCGTAACCATAAAAAAAGATAATACAACGGCTAATACCAATTTTAATGTGGTATGCGAAATTATAAATTCAATTATAATAAAGAATCGTGTAACCTGCAGGAATATGAAGGGCTGCACGTTCCAATAAAATGAATAAATTATAAATGTTCGTGGATATAACGCGGAAACAGAACATTGGACTATTATAATTCTCAAGGATTAGTTACGTACTATTCTAAGCTACGTCATTATGAATCTATGAATACCCGATCGCTCGCTCTTATATTACTATCGATGTCAAGCCGTATGTCGACCATTCGAATCTCGAGGAAAGATAAAAAGAAACGAGCCGCGCGAGCCTAATCGGCCCCGCTTACAATCTCTTGACTCCCTGACTTTCCAGTGATTCTGTTGGTCATCTTATGGATCGCCGGCTCGGAGGCCGAGAGCATCCGGAACGAGAGCATCTGCGGGCCCTACAACGGCCGCCGCCTCTACCTGGAGCTCGGGGAGAGCGGTATTCTGCGCGCGGACAACGTCACCCTTACGAAGAATGCCCGTGGCACCTCGAGGACCTACGCCGGAAACAGCAGCCACGATCAATGCAGCCTCGAGCTCGTCACGTGTCCCTCCTGTATTATCACCCTCACCTTCAAGAGCATCAATTTGCTACACCATTGTGGCGACGGGGGCATGACGATCGACAGCCCCTGCAGGTCAGCTACACTTATCTTCTTCGCTTCTCCGAATCATGCTTATCTCCACCCCCCCCCACTTGGCTATACCCCCCCCCCCACACACAAATCCCACCCCCCGTCACTCCTTCCGCAGACCTCAAAAAAAAAAAAAATCTCCTTCGCTCGTCGCCCCTTTTATCTCGCGCGAAACAAAAGATGAGCGTGCACGGAATTTTTATGGAGATCAATACTTGGACGTTGCCTGTACGTAGTATGTGTGCTCGTACGCGAAATGAAACGGTGTCGCTGTACTTACGTTCTTTCTACGATGTCACAACTTCCAAAACTTTCCTCATCTGATTTATATTCGAGGGTGTATCTTTTAAAAACTTATGTAGAGTTGATTTATCCGGACTACTGTAACCACTTTTTTCTAATTATTACGCTTGGTCGTACTATTTATTATTGCTTCTTCTACTTTTAAATTCTGCCCAGAGACTAACTAGAGTTTGCGTCTAAAAGAAAGTCAAAAAATGCAGGTGCACTTTAACTTTGCCTTGTGCTTCGCATCTTAAATTCTCGTGTCAACGCGGTCGGAGACAGTACGGCGAGAATAGCAAAAGAAAAAATTTTCACTCCCGCTTAAATCGAGATTTATATAATAAACGTAAGGGCAATGAAGATTATAAATTAAAATCGACGTCCGACTATACATAGAGATATTAATAAAATACTCGGTACTTGCTAGTTCATAAATCGTTATAAAACTTCAACTAGCCGCGATCATAGAAGAATAATATATGATTCGAAATGATCGAAGGTAGCAGCGATAAAAATTTTATTTATTATAAATATATTTGCTAATTAAAGTATGCTGATTAAAATTTGTTGAACTTTCGAAGATGTGGAGACACTGTATTGATCAAGGTGTTTGTTGAAACAGTTATTTATTGAATGTGAAATGCATACTAGAGGAAAAGTGGAGAGAGAGAGAGAGAGAGAGAGAGAGAGAGAGAGATTGAAACATTTATTATGTTGTCAAACGAAAATTAGATGTGATTACGTATGGGTGTCGGAGCCTCCATACGAAGATGTGTCGGGGACGCCATTCTGCGGCCATTACACGCCAATTACATATCGTTCCAACACCAGAACTTTATCAATAGTTCTACTTTACAGCCAATCGCATAGCCATGCCTTTACAATTGTATACACAGCTGAAAGTAAGGAAATTATACGTGCATTGGATAAAAATTATAGCTCAGGAGAAAGGAACGATCGATGAAATTGTCACATCTCTTGATTACAGGAAATCGACTTTTATTAAAGGGCTCGAGCATTGCGAACGAAATGTCAAAGGCCATGAATATCACCAGCGGGGGAATTCTGACGTCGCCGTTTTTCCCATCGCGTTATCCACGTGACTTGGGCATGGAATACATTATTAGTTGCCCGACCGAGGTCCCATCGTGTCGCGTTCGAGTACTATTTAGCGATTTTCAACTCGCAGCTGTTTCCATCATAGAGGTAACATTATATAACTAGATGAGATTTCAAAATGTTTTTCACGATCATGACAAATCATTACAAGGCACATTTAACGTCGGTTTTAAATATATAAATATATACCGTATATGCGGTAAATTTTAAGGAACGCTAACTAAATTCTCACTAAATTCTCACTAAATTCTCACTAAATTGAATGAGCGATTTTGCTGAATGACGTTCGAATTTTTAAATTCAATTACGAGAAAGGCTTATACTATTCTTACGTAACACAGACTGACTTTTTCGCATTCTCGGGTATCGTAGCATTGAAAACGTAGTGTACTTCATAATTGCATTAAGAAATGAGATTAAACGAATATAATAATTAAATAATTCGTCGTTTTACGTTAAATGCGCTGAATTACATATTTGTACATTGCCGTTTATTTACAATTTAATAATTAACTGACGAGTACCTCCGTGTAATATTATACTACGCATTATCTCAACTACCCTACTACTCACTACTTATTATTCGAGCAATTTATATAAAAATTACAAGTTTTGATCGTTAAATGTAAAGACATTAAGGCTGTCACTCTTTTTACCAAGGACAGTACGACAATCGAAAGATTTATTATTATTCGAAACGCAAAAATGATAACATAATAATAATAATAATAATAATAATAATAATAATAATAATAATAATAATAATAATAATAATAATAATAATAGAAGAAGAAAAAAATTAACAATCGCAAAGCAACGTCTCTGCAAATACAATACGACAATGAAAGCCCCCAGGGCCAGCGATACACAGCATTGGAACTGAAACTCCAACGCTCTTAAAGCTCTAAGGAGCGCCAAAGTTCGTGCACTGTTCCCCCTATCCTCTGCCTCTCCCCCATACCCCTTTTCCACCGAGTAGTCACTGAACGACTGATAGTAGCTTGCGCAGTCACGACTGCCAATCGAGTGTCATTAATGGTCGGGGCTCTTGGTAGTTCTATGACTGGAATGGGCAGCGCTTAGATGTGAGCAGCGGCGCGCGCTTCCGGCCCCCGATTATCGTGTCGACGGGCACCTCACTCCTGATAAGGTTCTACGCGAATGGCGGCACGGGCCTGGGCTACAAGGCTTTCTACTCCTTCATCGTCGGGCAAGAATACGAGGCCCGCACCCACCCAACCACCGACTGCGGTGGCTATGTTGAGAACCTCGGTGGCGCCATCACCATGATGGATATGGTCGGCGAGGGCGTCAAGACCTACGACTGCGTATGGCTCATCAGACCTCCCAAAAACTTCATACACATGAAAACCCATATGTACCTCAAGGTCATCACCTTTGCCGAAATGGGTAGGCCGATACTTGCCTTTAAAGCGGTCATTAATTTATTTTTCTATTTTCTATTAATTATGCTCGAATTCATCATAAATATGCCGACTTTCAATTCAATTAAGCTTCTTATCAAGTACAAGCAATTAATTTTTTAAACAAGCGATTACATGAAGAAGATGTTGATTGTCTTGAATAATATATACGAATAAGAGGCGTTTTGTAACGTAATTCTCAATAATTTTATGTCAAGCATTGTATAAAAATTGACGATCTTGATTAAAATGTATAGAAAGATTAAAAATCATGCACCGAGTGACTAAATTGTAACAATAAATTAAATTGAAATCGTCAATAAAAAATGCTCACGATATTTCCGATTGTAACAAGCTTATATTAGAAAGAATCAATTTCCTACAATAATATTTTAACATTCCATTAAGTGCTTTTTATACGGAATATATAATTGTGAGTTTGAAAATGAAAAATAATTTACGCGTGCTTTGGAAAAGTCAAATTCGTCAATCTCACGTGGCCTTCGTGTTAAAGGTTTTTAATTTAATAATTTAAACGATTTATTTAAATTTGAATATCATTATTTATTTGCCTCCATTGGCCAGTACAAAAGTTTCATGAACATTTCAATAAAATGGCAATAGCGACGAAATTTTCGTCCGATTAATTTCTCATTCTGAAAGATCATCGCAAATCGTTGGTGTATTTGAAAAAAAAAAAAAAAAAAAAATTCTAAACATTGGTACATACACTATTCATATTAATTGAAAATTGACTGGGACTTTTTGAAAAATAAAGAGGGCATCGTCATAGAGACAATGAGGGGACGTTGAAGAAAATAATGAATAAAAGTAACGTATGTGAAAATAAAAGAAAGCACTTTTTCTTTTTTCTTTCAATATTATTTTATTTATTTATATTATTTACAATATTATTTTACTATAATAATAATATGAAAATGAGACGTATTATTATCGTTATTGTTTTGGCAATATCGCGCAAGTGCACGATTATCGAGAAAGGGACGTAATAATAATGAGAAAATGTTCAATGAATCGAAGGGGACTGGAATATTCTTAGATAAAGCCATATTCTTCTTCCCTTACATTCCACTCGCCTTTCTACATCTAGATCCTTAAATATACGTATTCGTGATCTCGACAGCCGGGACCACGGAATTGATAATCAAGCAAGGCCCGACGTCAGCGCTAATTCCACTCGAAATTCTCCGACATCCGGTAAGCCGATTGCGTCCGCCAAAACTAAAGGAGCACATCGCCCCGGTTGCCAGCGGATTCCACGTCAGCCTACGCGGCAGTTTCGGGCCAAATTCACGATTGGCGATCGCATACGCGGCATTCAGCTACATGGGTAAGAGAGATAACAAGCCGCAGGCGTCGCGGCCATCGAACCAATGACTTATCATGTTTCCTCTCACCGAACCTTAGATTGCTTCACGGGCACGGATTTCCTTTGTCAGAATCACCGCTGCATCTCGGCTCTATTGAATTGCGACGGCTTCGATCATTGCGGCGATAATAGCGACGAGCCGACCACGTGCTTGCGCGGTAAATCTCGTTTCCGATCGAATCTTATCAGCCATTGGCCTTCCATGGCGACTGGGGACTCATCGGGCGGTCTTAATTACAGATTGGGACATGGGCGTGGAGGACCGTAAGTGGCAATTGAACAAAGCCAACTACTATTTCCCGAAGACAGATCGATATCCGGATTTGAAGACGGCCACCCTCGTATTCGTTGCGAGCAGTCTCGGGCTGCTGCTCTTAATATCAGCCCTCATAGTTTTGCTGTACAGAGTTGGTGCGAGGGCGAGGCAGCAGCGGGAATTGCAATCCCGATTGCAGACCATCAGCGAGCTTCTAGGTATGCTATAAAATCATTAAGAGTCGCTCATGGCACTCGCAACATTGAGTTTTAAATTTGATGTTTTTTAAATTTAATGGGAAGCTGTCGCTCGAAACAATGGCTGACATTATAGATTGAGCGAAAAACATGATAAAACGATAAAGACGAACGATCGGTATTTATTGAAGTAATAGGCGTTCGCGACTCGCCACGTAAATAAAGATTGATCGAGTTTCGAACTGATGATTGACGAAAACATCATATCTTTCGCTCTACGCAAAATCTTTATAAGAACTTCCGGCGACGCGAAGTTTGTCTGAGATAGGTGTTTTTGCGCTTGTGTTATTGGCATACGCGGCAGTTCTCAACCTTGCAGACGGAGGGCGAATCGACGAGATCTCAATACCGGACGAGCCGCCTGTTTACGAAGCACCGCCGAATTATGATGAAGTCATTAAAATCGGCATGGAGGAGGAAACAACTGGGGAGAGAAAGAAGTGGAGAATATCGAGAGGCAATCGGCATAATAGGAGCATATCATCCGGCCAATGCTCGTAAATTATTTTTCTATTTATCTTCCTGACAAAACGTCATTATTACAGAACTTTTAATATTGGCAATGTTGAGGCAATGAAAATGAAAAGGACATTAAATTGATGGGTTTGAAATGCCGAGTTGCCGGTAAAATCGGCTGACTTTCAAGTTTATTTCATTTCGTTGATTTTCATTGAATTGAAGGGGATTTTTTCACCGGTAAATTTTACAAAACTTATGAAACTTTGGTTGTTTTTACTCTACCAGCTATACCAAAAGAAAAACCTCAGCGATAATATGTAAATACGGTTTATTTATATGTTATTTACGATTTTATATCGATTCAACGCGCCGTTCCACTCGAAACGGTTCTGAAAGTTTAATAGAAGCAAAAAAAAAAAAAAAAAGAAGAAGAAGAAATACGTCTGCTGACACGGCTTTTGAAAAATTAATTTACCAAAAATATCATTGTTTCAAATTTAAATATTCTACTATATTATCTGACATTATCAAAGATACAAACTATTGGCTACGTGCTCGATTCAGCTTTTTTATAATCATCCTTCGTAAACTCTAAACGCGAATACTTTGAAATTCCATTTCCCAAGTTTTGTAAATAAAAAAAAAAAAAGAAAGAAAAAATCCAAAAACTTCGATGCCAATATTTCTTAGATTTTATACATTTACTTAACATATGCCATATTTATTACTATATATAGACTTTTCATAACCTTATATATTTAGAAAACAAAAACACATTATATCCCTAATAAAGCTTGTAAAAGTTCTACAACTGTGCATATACATGAATTTTCTTTTACAACGTCCAATAAACTACATTAATTAGTTAATAGAAAATCTATAGAAACACTAATGATAAGATACTCGTAAAAAGATCGTTATCCACAATTATTGAAAATGCCAATTAATCTAATTTTCAGACATGACTATGAGTCGCAAATAGCTCTTAATATTCACGTGGATGGATTAAATGCAAATCATAGTAGTCAAACGATGCCAACACTCTCCAATTTTCTTAAAAATCCAGTACCAGAAAGTCCACCGCCACCTTACATCACACCGCCAAGTTCAACCGCTCGGCAATTCGATTACTCGTGCAATTTTAATCTTCCAGGGCCCAGTACGTAAATATACATATTTACTAAACGCATGCAATCTCATAACTCGGCAATTTTTGTAAAAATATTATTTATACCACAACGACATACGTTTGATAATTTATAATCTTTGAGCTATTCAAAGGACCGTGGCCTACTGCCGTTATCCTGTACCAGGCCAATCTATTTCATACAACTTACAGGAATATTTAATTCATCGGATGTATTTTAAAAATTTATAAGACAGAGTCATTCTATTAAACCGATGTTTAAGAATAGAGATTAGGATTTTCAAAATCTCAATACCAAATTTCAGATACCTAAAGCACAGAAGAATAAACTCGCCTTATATTGAAAGTAATTTCAAATTCTTCTTAGAGATGAAAAGAAGAGACGATGCATGAAAATTCATATACAAACGTGGAATACATACAGATGAGATTTGGGCCAATAATTAAATCAAATTTAAATGCTGAATTAGAGAAAAATATAAAGAACAAGTCTTATTCTAAAGCACATTAGAACAAAAAACGTGATAAATAAGAACGCGAACGCACTTCTCTATATATAATCGTAATATATAATAATCTAATAATCTCTTATATCGTTAAAAATACATTTAAGTAAGAGTGCTCAAAAGTACCAGGCCATTAACTATTCACACTCATCTGAAATATCATTAGTGTACCACCAATGAATATTAATTAGTTTATTGGCGTCCGTAGGTGAATCCGCGAACATCTCTAATAAAGACGACAACGGCATCAAATTCACGGAACAAGAAAGCAACGACGGCGGTGACGTTGGTGACAGCGGCGACGGCAGTGGCTGTAGCACCAGCAGCAGCAACATCAACATCAACATCAACAGCAACAGCAACTGCAACAACAACAGCAACAGCAACAGCAGCAGCAACAGCAGCACCTGTCCGACTTTGATTTCCCTGACAGGGGGCAATCGGCGAATAGCCTCCTCGTCTCGTCGATGCTGGCTGCGCAACAGCGGATCCTTCTTCCACTCGTTGCCCACCGGGAGGACGGCTTCCGCGTCGCCCCCCGTCTCGCCCACCTCCGGAGCGCTCGGTGCGTATGCCCCGGCCCAAGCGCTAGGACCTTCTAATTTTCCTGTGCCGCAGCCGGGGAGATCGAGCGTTGCCTCTGGGAACACGAGGTTCGGCTGCGCCAATGCACCCGGCGAAAACGCCGAAGAGCTCGAGGACGCGCCAGGATCTGAATGTCCGTCCATCCTCGTCTGCTCATGCGAGGGAGCCTGTGGCTGTGCCTCCTCGAGCAAGAGCTTCGTCGTGGAGTCGCTCGTGGCTCGGGATAGGATCGTTGGGTTGCCGGGTCAAAAGGAAGAAACGAGGTCCTGCTGTCGACTCGACGTAAGCAGAAGACTATCGGTGGACTCGCCGGATAGTCCTGGTCTTAGTCACGGAAATAGCCGTGAGGAGCTCGCCGACGATTTCGACATCGTCTCCGAGACGACGAGCATCCTCGATCCACGCACCTCGCCCAACATCCCGTTAAACCTTACGGCCGAGTCCGCGAAATCCGCTCCGTCGAGGAAGCACTGCGCGAGCTTCGATCTCGGCGGCTTGTACGATAGTATTAAAGCACTGGACATGTTCCTCGCGCAGCGTGGAAGCTCCTGCGCGAATAAGCGAGGGTCAACGCCCAGAAAGAGTATGGCCGTTATGCTTTTCGGTACGCCGAAGCACAAGTTATACAGCCAAAGCGAAAACGCTCTGTTGGCACCGAGGTCGGCACTCGGGCGCTTCGAGGCCTCGAGAATACGCATTTGGCAATCGATCGATGACAACTTTTCTCCTCGTTGAGTGGCCGTTAGCGCGCTTTTCATTACTTTATCCGCATTGGCTATAGGCCCTTTCATGGGAAAAAATGGCGTACGATCCCATGCGACAGAAGTGCAATATCAGAACTTCAGACAACGAAAGCTTATGATGAAAATGCTAAAACTTGCGTTGTAACTAAAGGCCATTGTAGCGCAAGCCTTCTTCGTATAAAATAATTCTGTTGTATTTATTATTCTTATTCCGACACCATTGCATCAGCAAATCTTGAACTTACTTTTGGTAAATTTGAAAAATATTGTGATAGCGATGGATAGAATGTAAGACCCATTCGTCCATATGTTACAATTGATTTTAAACAAAGTTACTTTCACCATAATAAATTTTTGTTATATTTATTAATATATGTTAATATTTTTATACAATTTCATGCAGAGTAGATTAATACCAGTTAATATAATATTTTTAATAATAAATTCTTATATTTAACCGAAATAGAAGCAAGAAAAATATTTTCTTGAATTAATCGCATGCAGCGATACAACGTAAGTTTACATTACTTTAAACGCTCAAACTCTAAGAGCCATAGAATATTGAAGAATGATAAAGCAAAAACACGAAGAAGAAAAAGACAGAAAATTTTACAACATAAAAGTTGCAAATATTATTAAAAATATTATAAGTCTTTCGTTAATATACAATAAAATAATTCGACAATATACAATGTTTCTTAGTAGGGAAAAAAAAATTATTCGAAAATACGTGTCGTAAAGATTTAAAATGAAGATGTAATCATGTACTAACAAATGTGAAGTGAAAATACTTATATTTTATAAAGAACTTTTATATATAAAATAATATAGAGACATTTTATTGTACTTCATAAAAATGTATTTATTAGATGTTGATGTAATAATTGTACATGTTTGTATAGTTTTAATTTATTATGTAGAAGAGTTCAATATGGGAATTCAAATTTTTTGACTGTGATTTATTGCTTAAAACGTATAATTTTTATAAATTTGTAACATTAAAATTACACAAGTTTAGATGATGGAAAAATTGAAGAACTACATTGACTTATATTGTATAATAATGATATTATTTAACGAATATATAAACTGTTGAAATAAAATCATTTTCTCGTTAATTTTTTTAATTAAATATATATATATATATATATGTATGTATATCGCTTATGATAGCTATAAAAAATTGTTTCAACGACACTTTATGTTTCGTTATTACAAGTTAATAGCTCATCACTAGTGTAAGCTGGTATTTTTGTTTGACACTCATTGTTTTAAATTAAATTAATAACTTAATATAAACGGTCTTTTTTGTTTTTTGTTCTTTCAATTCAATTTAAACAAGATTCGTAACAAGTAACAATTATTATATTTTATGAATATAAAATAGTTAACAATGACATAAATTTACTCAAATATCCAAGTACTGCAACTAATGAATTATTGGAAATAATGTGTTTATAAAAAAAAAAAAAAAGAAGAAACAAACATAACATTGTCTTATCTAATGGCTTCACTTTGTTGTGAATTCATATTTAATAAATGCTTTTTCATTTTCTAAATTTCTATTAATGTCATTTGAAGATAAATGTCGGAATTATTTATTCTTAATTAATTAAAATTATTATTCATCCCTTTCTAAGAGAAATAACAAAAATAACGGAATAATTCCTTTCGCGTACCTTAAATTCTAAAAATGACATCCCCATCTCACGCTTTATATGTATATTAAAACATTTTATAAAATAGAAGTTCATTTTTATAGTTACACCAAAGCTGGGAAACTTTACTGGAATTTTAAATACTGTTTTTGTAAACATCATTGCTCATCTCATTAATGCCACGGCAATGTCGGTATGTACAAATTATATATGTATATTTGGCCTTACAAAATCATTCAGTGATCATCATAGTGAACATCATACAGTGGATCCATGTATTGATTACAATGAATTAAGACCCTGATATTTTAACTTACGACATTTCAAGTAATTGAAATTCGAATATTTGGATATAAAGCTCGTAGAAGAATTAATGTTATTATTATGCTAAATGTCAACGGTACTCACATCCTGTCACTCGATCAACGAAAAATCACTTAAACTACTCGTAATGTCGAGTGAAACGCAACGGCACTCGCACTTTAGAAGTCATCCGAGCATAATTACATGATTCAATCCAAAGCTCTTTCAACTTCCATGTAGAGTCTCAACTCGAAGCATAAGACACTATTGCGCATAATATATCTTACAATACACGTTAGCACGTTCACATTAGCACAGTGACACTTTATGCTTTGCATACTCAGCGCTAGACGAATTAATTAAAAATCCATGGATTATTAAAAAATAGCCATTTATGTACATTAATGGTAATTATGGAATTTCTAGTGGCAGGATAATAAATCAATCCCATAGACATCCAAATATTCAAAATTTTCAATAGCCGCTCGGATGTGACGAGAGTCAGTTAACTCGAAGCGCAGACGTCGCCTCCATTAATACAATAAGTACACGTTACGCGATACGTTAAATCAATTAATGTTAATTTACTTTTTGCAATGGCAATACTGTTTGTAGCCCTGGTCTAAGCATTTGGCACTCTGTGCGTAAGAATTGATCCGACTGACCTCGTCGTCGTGAATCGTATAATTACCGGGCCCGTAGTAGCGTATGGTCGTTTCGAACTTGCCGTCGCCCGGGCCAACTTCCAGCAGGTAAAAGAGCTCAATGACATTGGGATCGGCGTTCTTGTCAAGGTCGAGCACCTGATTCACTCTGCGTATCCTCTTTAGTTTGGGCTTATCGCAGAGTCTCGCTCCCTTCTTGTTCTTGTAGCGCTTCACTATCTCCTCCATGTGCTCGACGAACCGGTTGGCGCCATCGACGACGATCTTGTCGTTCGTGCTGCCCGACTGGAAGGCCGCGCAGGTGCACCAGTGGGGTGCGACGCCGGCGTCGGTGCAGCCGCGAGCTCGGGGTGCCGGTTCGAAAAGGCTTGCGCAACGGGGACAGCCGCTGCTCGATGGCGCTTGGCCGCCCGCGCGACTCAGGACGTCCCGCAAGGTCTCGTAGAGGTCGTAGGGCGAGGTCAAACGGTTCTGATTGATGCGCAGCGCGTGGTAACTTTCGGGGTCCTGCTCGCGAAACCACTCGGGCAGCCAGATATAGATGAAGGGCAGACGCTCCTCGTACCAGCCGACGAAGGTGCTCCTAATGTCACCGTAGCGCATCCCGTGATCGCTCAGGACTATAATCATACTGTCGTTCATTACGCCCGAGGCCTCCATGTCTTGGAGTTTGGCGAGAAAGTGGCCGTCGATTGACGAGGGCCCGTTCACGTTCTCGTGGCTGACGCCGTTCGTCCAAAAGAAGCCAAAGTACGGCTGCTTCGTAAACGTCTTGGCGAAGTCCACGGCGAAGTCGAAGATGCGATCGACACTCAGCTCCGGACCCGTGCAATACTTGGCGCTGAAACGCTGACGGATCTTCAGCAGCTTCTCCGAAGCGAGAACATAGGGTCGTAGATAATAGTCCGTTGGTGGATCGACGAAGCCAACCTGCAACCTCACAACCGATTAATATTTATTGGCGACTATCGAAATTCATTTTTATGCTCGAATGGAAAGACGAGATTTTATTCAAAATATAAAAGGGGGGAGGGGGATTTGTTGTTTAATATCGACTGAAGCCATGAATTTCTTCATAAAATATTCGTTCGACATTATTTGACATTACTTGGACATTATGATAACGAAAATTCAAAGAATAAAAGTTCGTATGTAAAATAATATTGGTCCATCTTTTCTCTCTTTCGTATTATCGATTGGAAATGTAATAGATTTCATTAATTTTAATATTGGCAGAATAATAATACCTAATGTGAAGAGTTCCGTCTTTAAATTTTTAAAGTATATCAATATATATATATATATATATATATATATAACATGTATACATGCAAATTAAATCGAATTTCAATAAATAAAACAAAAAAAAAAACATTGCTTTACAATACATAAAATGTTTATTTTAATCATTATATATACATTATGTATAATATAAGGGTGTATAATTGTTTAAACTAATATAATTTAAAAGATGTAAAGTTAAACTTCTGTTAAAATGAAGAATGTTCCATTTTAATAGAATTTTGGATGATATTTGGGTTTTTATAAATAATAAATATTGATTTCTAAAGTATTTCACGTAGACTATACATTTTTAATCGAATTAAATTTAACAGGAGAGAATATTTCAAAACAACGATATTTACAACATTTAAATCAATTTTATATCGTTATAATGTTTGATGTTTCACATTGATTTTAAATTTTGAAATCTTGATATACGTGTGATGTGATAATATAGTGAAATAGTAGGATAATGTAGTTTGTTACAAGCCAGTAGAGCTTTTCATGTGAATAACATAAAATTTATTTACGAAAATCTACGAATTATCCGTTCAGACTCACATAGCGCAATTAGTGCTTGGAATAAAAAATAAATAATTGAAAAAATAACATTTTAATATTATTCGTATTATTCAAACAAGTAAACGATACTCCAAAAACATTATTACACACCTTCTTGGACATTCGCATATAGATATATATATATATATATATATATATATATATATATATATATTTATAAAGATTTTACGTATCTTAATGTTATTTCAAATTTTACTTATCAGCAACTTCATAGCCCTTCCATATTTCAATAAAAATTACAGCAAATAATCCAAACGGCTTATTTGATTCGTGGAATAAGCATTGTTTAATATCAATAATTTAGTAGTCTAGTAGTTTAGAAGGCATAATTTAATAGTTATAATTTAGGAAAATCAACGATTTTGTCCCTCATAATTCAATATGCCTTCAAATAAATTATATCATTTTTTATATTTTCAATATAATTTCCTTGCAATGACTTGCATATAATAAAAAATGTATATAAAATGATATATAAATTTTACTTACTATCTCCGAAACGGTTATATATTTAACTAAAAGAATTTTCGAATTTATAAACGGATATAAAATATAAATCTCTTTATTAAAATCTGATGCTTTTCTATTAATCCAAGTATAATTAAATAAAATCAATAATTTAATCCCAACGCATATTTATTGATGAATTTGAACAATTATCATTATTAGCAATTTTTTTCACTGTTTCTCTTTTCCACTTTCCCTTTCTTCAATTGCTGTATCTATGAAATATATCTTTCAATTTTTAGAAAGATTTATGTAACTTGATAATTCATCAAATTGACACTCAAACGAATATCCCGACATTTCTTATGCAACTTTTGTGCCTTTACCAATTTTTCTTTGTAATATTCAATTAAATAACAATTATTACAAATGACTTGTGAAAAAGAAAAAGTCATAGTAATAAAATAGTGACTGATAATCATATTATAAAGAGGTGAAGAAAATCTCAGCTAATATAGGATATTAGGCAAATTTAACCTCACATTGCCCCTACAAAATAGATTACCGTTTATACAGATAAGTTTCCCTTTCTTTCTTTCGTCTCTTCACTACCTTCGTTAACAGCCTAAGAAGCGTGCAGATTCAATCAAATGAAATGGTAGAAAATGAAATTCATCATGATAAAGCAAGCAATTTCATAATAGATCTAAGATAATTAATAGAGTTAAGATCACCTTGAGATAATTGAAGGTACTAATAGGCGCGTGATCTTCGCCGTATGCGGTTACATATCCAGCATCCCGAAAATTGTACCAGATAATGGAGCAGTTGTCAAGGCCGTAAGGAAGCTTGGGCTTGCATTTGGAGTAGGCGAGTGACTGATTGTAGCCTGTGAGAAAGGCCATGAGGTTGGGAAAGGTATTGTCTCCCATTTTGTTATAGCCCTTGAGCTCGAGCCAGCCTTGGCTCTCGAGGTACTCCCTCGTAAGTGGCATGGACCGGTGGAAATTCAGTCGGGAGACGCTGTCTATCCCGAGCATAAGGATGCTAAGTTCTCTGGCTTGGGCTCGACGGCTATTGTTGCTCCCTCTAAAGTCCGAGATGTTCAATCGCTCGTGCACTTTCTCCGGATTAAGGACCGCGTGCACGTTTTCGTATACCAATCCGCTGGAGGCCTTTGTTATCTTGACTTTTCCCTTCGACGGCTTAAGCGGCTTTAATGTTTTGCAGGTGACTAGGAGAGTTTCCACGCTCTTGTGAAGAAGGACTTGGCCTTTGAACTCCTCGCACTGGCCGACACTGCGAGCACGAATAACAAAACATGCACACTCTCTCTCTCTCTCTCTCTCTCTCTCTCTCTCTCTCTCCCTCCCTCCTCTCTTATAATCAAATTAATCGAACCTTAGCTTTATTAGACTTACCAATATTAGCCGACAGCTCATTTATTTATTCAAACATTCAATCAATTATACCCGACTTTATTATAATTTTTTTTCATTTACTAATTTGTTAATGTGTTAATGCGTGTGCGTGACCTTATATATATTTTTCCCTATATATCATTATCTCATAATAGGGAGATTTATAACGATCATAAGCATTATTAAAATTATTGATATGATGTATTTTTTTATTATTATTTCATGTCCACTGCGATGCGATTTTCAAATGTAAAGTAAGTTTTACATCTATTGCACTCCACTCTATGGAGTAATGTACCAAATTTAGCACAACGACGCGAATGACAAGATTGCACCCATTATCATGCACTCGCTAACGGAATCTAGTTCAATTCAATAATCAAAAACACACGTAAAATGTCAATAAATATTGTAAATAAAATTCACTGAAAATATTCATAAATCGTGTTAATGAATATTCATCGATTGTGTATGAATTATATTTTTCATAAATTTATAAAGTACTGCTGTAGCTTATCAATGACATTTTAAATAGACATTTTTTTCACACTTTATTTTATATTACAAGACAATTAGAAGAGATAACGATTAATAGAATCTCTATGATGTATTTCAATGATATTATATGAAATTGTAAGAATAGCCCGTTCGTAATATCATATTATATAACGCGTAAATCAACGTCGATGTGAGATCGATCTATAATATCAAATGATTGTATTTTTGTTGTGAATTATTATAAAATGAAGAGATTAGGCTTACCTAATTTTCGAATCGTATTCCTTCTCCGATAACAATTTAATTGAAATGGTTGGCCTAATGACGGGCGCCCAGCAACAGGACAAATCATTATAATGCTTCGCTGCTTTGGAGTTAATGACTAGATAGACACTTCCGTTGGACTCCCTGGAGATGCTCGTTAGTAATGGCGTTGTCGAGCAAGTTTCAAACTTTTCCCTCTTTACGAACTTGACGATGGACGGATCTAGAGGATTCTTCGACAGCATGTGACATTTTGAATTCCAGACTAAGTACCCATCGACCACATCTAAGCACCAAGCGTTTCGACTGTTTTAATCGAACGTATATCGGATGGGATACGTTGGAAATATCGATTTGGAGTTTTCATAGTTTTAAAACGTAAAAAACGTAAAGCTAAATTTGTTTTAACATGTGGTCGAATATTTATTTCCAAAAATATGCAGAAATTAAATATCTGCATTACAAAGCGAGAATTGCATTTCAATTCAATCCCACTTTATTTTTATTACTATTATTATTTAACGGCTTTTTCTCTAACGTTCATTTTTTTTTTTTTTACCTTCGAATTTTGCAGTTCGCAATTCAAGTAGTTTCTTATGCAAAATATTACCACTTATAAACAGCAGATCGCATTTGAAACTGTAAAAATAATTTGCACACAAACATTTTAATAATGAATTATTCATACTTTTAACAAACAATAATATAGCAGTATTTACTATTTACTACATATGCGGTTAATACATCTGCAATAATGATTTTATTGTGAATTGCGAATATGAAAGTTAAAACTAATTATACGCTCTTGATAAATTTATATCAAATCGAATAAAATATAAACATAAAGTTCATGAATTATCTATCTTATAACAGATATTTAAAGCACTTCAGTAACTAACAGTAACTTCATTTTAAGCACAAAGAATATCTGTAATAATGCTGCCGTCAATGGATAACGGTTTACACATACATCCACACTTCACTATCTCTCTGCATCTAGTGTAAAAAAAAAATTAATAATTTTTTTTTAATTTACCCATTATTAAAAACGTGCATATACTTCAACGTTATATTAAAACTTGTTGTAATGAAAAATATAAGAAATTACAAATGTTATGATTATTATCGTCCTAGTTCATCTATACGCGTGTGCGCACACTTGCATACGATAATCATCTAACGATGAGAAAATAATAATATCTTACACCTGTGTGGCTTGTAAATAATGCGCAAGAAATGTGTTATGCATGTAAGTAAGAATTTGAAATATGCTATGGAATATTTATGAAATGTTTGAGCAAAATTAAAAAATTGAAATAGCTCAGAGAAGAAATGGAGCTCAACTTTATGAAAAATATTTCATAGCATTGGTCAATGAAAGTTATCATATAATTTTTTTGTACTTTGAGTATAAAGTCCATAAAACCTATAAAGTTTCATAATTAAAAAACTATTATTTTCTCAGTACAGTTATTCGACATTACTATGCAAATGAAAAAATTACCGGTCTATTTGTTTCAATTATTATTCGAGCTGAAGAAATGCAAGTTAGTTTTTACTAATTTTTAACTTGATTTCAAAAATATGAATTAATTTAGCCGTTAAATAGCCCCTATTAAATCTGTAATATTCAGAAATTTATATATTAAATATTTGAAATTCCCAGTCTCTTCGTAATATACATTTATACCCATACACATACGCAGCCATACATAAATACGTACGCTCATTCATTCGCTCGCTCGCTCTCTTACTCACGTGTATGTGTATGCGTATTAGAAAATCTCTTAGAAGTAAGTATATTTTCCTATAAATTTTTCAAAAATCTCGAAATTTAATTTAATTTTAGAAAAAACTTGATTGAGAAAGAAATTGATATTTTAAAAATTAATTTAACAGAATAAATTCACAATATAGTGCCGTTTAATAAAGTATTGAATATATTTTAAAGATCTATTTCAAGACGGATGAAAAAAATATTGAATTTTATATATGATATTATATAAAATATAGATTTCAATAAAAGTAGCGGACACTTTAAAATATCTTGAAAGACTTGAAACTTCGAAAAAAAATTTTGTTTATACTAATTATAAAATTTTTAAATACCTTTGATAAAAGGAAGAAAAAAAAAAGAAGAAAAAAAGAATAACTGACAATTACATTTCAAAGTGTGTAAAAATGTACGTTAAAATTGATATTTGTTTCTTCCGTGCTACTGTTTTAAAACAATATATGATGTTTAATGAATGAAACATGATTCGTTAGATGATTTATTACCATAATCTGCACGAGTCTGCTTGACCGTCGCTATAATTTAAAAATGCATGTTGAAAAATCCTAATTTCATATTTCTATCTCAACACATACGTCTCAATGTAAAGCATGAAAAGCTTTGTCCGTTGATTACTTTGTTGAAGATTGACGGTAAATTAAATGCACTCGATAAGGTTTTCAACTGATCCGTTATTGAACTTGAAAACTCTCAAGCCCAAAGACGCTTGCGATCCCCACTAGAGAAGTCCTCCCGGAAATCGAAAATCTCCAAAATTCTCAGTGAATTGCGAATGGTCCAACTTACCGTAGGAGGTATTGTAAGTGCGAAAGGCGAGGTACTGCAGCCCCTTGAGATCGAACTCATTGCCGGCGAGGAAGTAGAGGGTGAGGGCGAGCAGACACGGGAGTAACAGGAGCACGAGGCTCTGGGGCCGGCTCAGGCACTCTATGAGCCTCGACCACTTGGACCTCCACATCCTCCTCCTTATTCCGGTGACGCGCGGTCATCCCCCTCGTCCGAGTCCTCTGTCATCTCGCACTCGCCATCGCAATCCGGCCTTTATCGACTTCCTCTTCCAGTGGTCGCTTCCTCCTCGACGACTCCTTTGTTCGTGCTATCGTTTCGGGGACGAGCGAAGGCCTTCGCTCTCTTCTCTCCCGTTGCGTCAAGCTCTGCCGAAGGTATGAATTACAGCAGCTCGCACGGCCTAATAACTTTTAATAAAACAATGGCGTGTTAATCGTCACCGTTAAATATTTCTTTGAATTATAACGAACCTCCCAGCATTCGTCCGCGCTCGCGAATGACAATATTTTTAGTGCCGCGCGTAAATGCGCGTGAAATTGACCTATAAATCGTAGTATGTATATTTCAAGAAAAGTCACGGCAAGTCGTCGATTGAGCGCGCAAGCCAATTCGCAGGATGATTCAGATATGCGCAATTATGATGGTGTAATAATAGTTCGTCGTGCTCAGAATCGCCCTAATGGCTAATTAGTCTTGTCGTTTCTTACGTGATTATTGCCAGCAGTTCAATTATTAGCGCAAAATGTGCATTTTCTAGCTGCGTCATTCGGGCAATCATTAGTACCGCGAGGATTATGTTAATTTTTAATTGTCTGCTTTAGAAAAAATATTATTTATATGTAGACGTGGTTTATAAATAATAGCGGTTAAATATTGCTAATAATCAGTCATATCGATAGTCTTATCGGCATTGAAATATTTATTGCTAACGACGATGGAAAATCAGTCGTATATATTATAAATAGAAATTTATAAGATTCTCTAAAGCGATGTACGAAGCTATGAATAATGGATGTTCGCATAATCTCTAATGTAATTGACGATGCACGCTTGGGAGAAGGTGCGGGTAAAAATTCTTTTATTTGAAATTTTATCACAAAATTGCTTTCGCATAAAAATAAATACAATTATCAGTACTCGGTGTTTTCAATTTCGTATTAAAAAAATTCAATGAGAGTCCATTCTTAGCACGAGGTTTACAACATGTAATTAACAATCATTTTTCAACTTTAAGCTATATTTGCTGTTTATTAGATAATATTTATTTATATGTGTAGATTCAAATTTTAAAATCTTTCATTCTCAAAATGATCAATTTTGCTAAGGAGATATTGGAAAATATATATTTATTTAAAACTAGACGCTCGGAGTTAAACATAGTGACTTATTTAATTGACTACATAAATATCACATTACATTAAATTATTCAAAATTATAAATCAATATTTAACAATGTGCAGCACATATATATCGTCTATTCTAACTTAACATCATCTTGTAATCTCTGTATTCTTAACAATGCTCTGTACTTAAAATTTCGATAAAAGTTATAAAATATCACTTTTGAACATTAATCTTCGCGGACCATTATCGCTATGGTAAAAATACCTTAAAGAAGAGAAAAATGCCGGGAGAGAAAATAATTACTTTTCCAAATTCCATAACAATTTAAACGTGTGCATTTATAATTGCAAAAAATCTGCTAATTATCGTACGTGATGTAAAAATCTTATTGAATGAAACTTTATAGGCATGTAAAAGAGATTCATAAAATGAGATAAAGCTTTTATATATTATCGGATGATTGTAGTTAGTCATAAACTTTATATAAATAAAATTACATGGAAAAATTGTGTAAATGCGATATGTGATATGGAAATGGTTAAGATAAAATTTAATTTCTTTTAATTTTAAATTCAATGGAATATTATAAAGTACCTTATAATATTACCAATTAATAAATAAAATTCAGATGAAAGTTGTGAATATAAAAGTAAACACGCTAATATAATAACAAATATTTAAGTATGTTAAAAGTTTTGAAAGTATGCTAATCATATTGTTGTATGTGAACTTTGGAGGTTCGTGTTCCATTATTGCTAGTACTGTCAAAAAGTTCTACCTACTCCAATGGAATCAGCATCAAATATTACAAATAAACTATTATCCCATTTATAATGTTCATGTAGCATTTAGAGTTAATTATTTAAGCCTTCGTGTTATCAAAATTTAATCTCCGGAGACGACTAATTCAACGATAAAGATTTTACATTGACCCGTGCAATTATTTAAACCCTCGGAATCCGTGCTTTAAGTTATTAGACCCTGATCTCTTGCTAAATGCATCTTCTTATATATATAATTTTTTTTATAAAATACATATATAAGGAAACATAGTCAATAGCATTACGGATAGAGGAGACAACAAAAAACAATTCAATTTTACAGAAGGACAATTTATCGGTAAAATATAATGTTTGATAATTAGGAGAAAATAAGAATATCATTGCCGACAATTGTAATAAAAAATTCATGAATTTATTCAGACTAAGTATGAATGAAAATCAATACTAAGGCACCATATTCAGATGTACCAACGAGTATTAATGAACAAAAAAAAAAAAAAAAAAAAAAAAAAAAACTTTGCTACGAACGAAAATCTAAGTAATTTTATGATCAATTTTCCCCTAGAAAAATCATTTCCAAAATATTAGTCGAAGTAAATATATTCATTGTTTCCTTAGTACTTTAATACTCATTTTCTTCTATTATTTAAAAAGTCTTCACAATTTCAAAGTGTTCACAATTGAATTACTCCCAATGAAAATAGATTTAAAGATGTATTGATAAATAAAAGTATAAACAAAATTCTCGATAAATTATAATTTATTTGAATGTAGCTCTACTATGCTTTATATTAATAATAATTTTCATTAATTAATTTATGGGCTTCGAATTATTATTAATATTAAAATTACTTTAGTATAATATTTTATTAATTAACAATTATAATTTTAGATCGAGTGAGCAATATTATTTGTAAAAACTATTTCAATAATCCCTAAAAGTTATTAATTACAACAAATTTGTAAATAAAAGCGAAACTATTTATGCAATTGGTGACTCGATTTAGATATATCAGAGAAAACTTTTTATATTGTAAATAATATATTACTTTATACGTTAATTGTTTATAAATTTATCTAAATTTACCTCAAATTACAATAAATTTTATAGAAATATATAATAGAAATATAATTCACATCATCGAATAGAAACTTCAAACGTGTGTGTGATATATACTTATTCTTCCTTTAATAACGATCCTTTTATGAAATTAAAAACGTAATGCAAGATAATATGCAGCTCGGTACTGGAATATATTCTAACATAAATTACTAAAATAAATAATAAGAATAAATTTTCAAAAATCTATGTTAAATATATAATGGAATATATTGTATTTTATGTTATTATTTTATATTTTATATTTTATATTATTATTGTATTTTATTATTATTATCATTATTATTATTATCGTTATTATTATTATTATCGTTATTATTATCGTTATTATTATTATTATCGTTATTATTATTGTTATTATTGTTATTATTGTTATTATTGTTATTATTATTATTATTATTATTATTATTATTATTATTATTATACAAATACAATGACGTGCTTCATTGTATAGATTTCAATAAGGTTATTTAAATAAATTATGATCATTAAGTAAATATTTTATAAATTAAAATGTCTAACAATCACGTATCATTTCATACGATATAAATATTATTACATCTGTTTTATATATAAAAGACGTGCCAGATAAACCGTAAAAAAATTTTCTATGCAAAAGACATTTAAAAAAAATAATTCGAATATCATCGGCATCTCACTTTCTTATAATTCTACCATATCACTACAATAGATCCGAACAATAATTTTCTTTCTGAATAAAATACTTAATCAATACAATCTATTATATATGATGATTTATTGCAATTTCATAAAACTGCTGTATATTATTTGTTAATGTAAAATAAACGAATGGATTTTCAAAACTACAGTACGATGATATGTATATTATATACACACGCGCGCACATATCCTTTAAAATATTTTTTGTTTTAAAAATAAATTATAGATAATATGAATTTACATCGATTTTCAATTCTTAGCATTATTCAATAATAATAAAATTTGTATGTTTTACGTGACGAGACGAAGAATAAACAATTATGATATCTCTATTATTTTTTGTATAATCATTTTTAGGAATGTTGTTAAATATTCTTTTTAATATGTTTTTTGTTTTTGTACAGACAATTTTCAACATTCTCTTTTAATTTTTAAAACATTTTTTACATTTCCCTTTGTTTATGAATTCAATTAATTGTTCGAGTTACGATGAGTTATGTAAAGAACAATGTAAATTGTACATTAATTTGTATAATTTTAAATATAAATAGGTATGTATTTGTATATAATGAAAAAATCCTAATGATTCATTATGCTTTAATTGAGGCATTCTTTATCTGCGTTTCGTTATTCATTTAATATTTAACAATTTTGTACACGGACGCGCAAACGTACACGCACACGCGCGCGCGCGCACACGCACACACACAAACAAACAAACAAACAAACAAACAAACAAACACAAACAAACAAGAAAAACAAACAAAGGGATACGTATATACGTTATATTAAATATAAGGTATAAGGTATATCGTTGACATTTATTCATTCATCTTAATTCAGAACGAATAATATTATGGAGATAAAAAAATGCAAATTTGATAATCATAGTTTGAAATCATATTGTAATTAAAAAATAAATTTTATTACTACGTCTTATTAATGTGTCGATATATATTGAAACAAAAATTAATACGATCAATGTAAGGTAAGGCACGTAACTAAACGGTGTATTTGGAAATTGCAAATGCCGAAAAATAAAAATGTTATAGTAACAGTGGTTGCAACGCTCGAAAAGTAATTATCTATCCGTCGTCTGACACGGGATGTTTGTTCAAGTTGAAACGATAAGGCGAGTGGGCAGGAAATACAAGTGAACTTACATGCCTTGAAAGACGATGTGCAGCAAGCACGATCGACCAAATCACATTGACAATGAAGACGGTTGGGAAAGACACGGATATGGGGGACGAGAATTTGTAGAATGAATCGCGACCGAATGCACTCGAACCGATTCTACTCGCATACCGTGAATTATCGACCGAAGCGCATGCGCCATCGCTATCGCCTTTGTAGAAAATCTAAGCTGATAATTTTTTCTACAAAAGATTTACATTTACGTCCGCTAGCATCAGTGGCACCAGATCTTAAACATTACTCGAGATGCATTTTTCATATCTTTTTTAAGAAACATATCTTTTGACTTCTTGTACTTTTGAATTTGCAAATGTGTCGCACTTGGTTTTTCTAATACGGATATTTTAGATGTAGAGCGCCTGTCGCGAGCAATGGCTTGAGCGTTTGATGAATAATAATAATAAAATTTTAAAAATAATATTTATTAAAAACGATATTTTTACATATAATATTTGCAACAGCGAAAATACAAAAATACAGTTTAAAAAGAAAATTTATTATACAAACTACGTAAAATCTTCCCAAGATGATAAATGTCGTTAAAGTTTAAATTTAATACGTTCCAAATATATTCATTAATACAATAAGTAATAAAATGTTCGTTCGTTAATTCATTCCCTATCGATATTTTCTTTATAAATAAATAAATCACTGATACAAAATTGTCATTTCTCTAAGTTTGTGTCATTATATAATATTTACTGCAATTTATTAATTTACTTCAATAATAAATACATGCATATATGGGCTTGAATTATTGCAATCATAATTCACTCTTACAGAGCTGCTATTGTTATTATCTAAACTCACGCGCCGTTCTAAATGAATAGCTAATATTTTAGAATTAAAAAATTCATATACGTTCAGTACACATAATTGACATTGCCATACAAGGAAGGATTAATTTAATAAAAATGTTCAATTATAAATAATTGTTCTTGTGGCGCAGGTGGCATTCGAAACGGGAGCACTTGAAATGAATGTGATAATAATAAGAACTTGCACAATAACTTGTGCTCCATAAAATCATGAATCGATCAATTTATTTCATAAAAGTACGAAGATTATTCTAAAAAATATAAGTCAACAATATATAATTATAGTGAAAATTTTATCAATCTTTGGATTGCGTATGAGCAAACGTTCGAAAATCGCTATAAAGCATAAGAATGAACACGGCATTTATAAGAAGGCCGCTCATTTCATATTTATAACATTTGTTTTTATGGTAAACATTATTTATGAAGGAAAATTCATAAAAAATAAATTAACTTTAATTAATAAGAGGGAACTATAATAATGCCGCTAAAGAGTTGACAGGCAGTGATGCATTTGTCGCGTATTTTTTTTCTTCCTAATTGTCAATAGACAAATCTTTGATACGGACAAATAGAGGGGGCCCGAGTAATAATCGAATAGCGCACAGAGAGTATCGATTAAACAACGTAAATGCGCGCAAAGTTAAATAGATAAGAGCAAAAGCAAATTGAGAAAAGCTATTTGTGGCCTATTGTGGTATAAAAAAATAAATAATAATGAAATAAAATAAAATAAATAAATAAATAAATAAATAAATAATAATGAAATAAAATAAAAAAAAAAAAGGCCAATCGGGGAAGCCACCGAATGGAATCCCGACAATTAATTCGACAAAGACGCAATGTGTGCTGCAGCGGCAGGCCCGACGACGAGTGTCAAAGTACTTTCAAACGAGAGCAGCGGCAAAGGTGACAGACAGTATCGTTCACGTATTCCCATCCCGTCACGTGCGGAGTCCGTAAATGTGCGTCGCACGCACGCAGCAGCCGCGTGCCACCGGAGTGGATGGGGTTGTGGTTGGGATGGCGGGGGAGGGGCTACGACGTCGTAGGAAAAATCGTGGCTGCCTACCTGGAGCTCGTCATGGGGACTCTCGGTGAAGGTCGCAACCAGGTGCCGTCCGCAGGGCCGTTCCAGCGACCTCGGTATCGTGAATACTATCGATCGGCCAGGAGGCGACCCCGGGCCCACGTCGCGCCCGACTTCCACTGTCACCACGGCGGCGTGCGACTGCCGAACCGAAACGACTCGTCCGAACGTGCACGACTACCCGCGCGCGCACGCGCCACCTTCCCTCGACGCCTCTGCGCAGAGACGTTTGCGCGGGGGTAGCGATGCCCCTCCTGTGATGATATCCCCTTTATCCACCCGCCCCTCCTCCATCGCCGAACCGTCCTTACACCTCCCTACACCCCCCCCCCATCCTACCACATATCTGCCCTACCCTATCCACCAATCGTCCCGCCGCCCACACACGAGGCGCACAAGATGCACGAGGCACGCGGGCGGATGCAACCGCAGCCGCAGCCGCAGCCGCGCGAGGGTTCGAACGAGAGAAGGCGATTTACCGGGCCTACGGAGCATCGTCTCTCACCTTTAGAATGTGTCTTCGTTCGTAGTGACGCTGTCAGTGAGGAGGGATGAGCGAGTACTCCGAGTTCGACTACAATGGCATAAGGATGAAACCGCGAGAGAATCGCGAGGAATTTCTCACTACATTTGGGCGAGGAATATGTCGGTTCGCTTGAAATCGGTACACGTAAAAGACGTATTTTATGTCTTGAAAGTACGTATTATCTCGTTAAGAGAGTCTTATTCGTCATGAGATGTTTTAGGCAGTGGAAACGGCGGGGCGGCAGGGAAGGGATGTACAATTCTGATTATATCATGAGTTTAGAGAATTGTTTATACAAAACGGCACGCGCTCGCGCGCACACACATACACATAAGTCTCATGCCATTTTCAATAAAGGATTACCGCGTATCTTCTGATTATAATGTTTGACAAATCTAAAAGAATCATTACAGCGACCAATTTGCAACAAGGAAATTTTCAATAATGATCTCATTTATTAAAAATGAGCCAGTAGATTAACCAAATATAACGTAGTGTTAATTTAATTTATTGCTATTGAGCGACAATATTTTGCATTTTATATGCCATGGATTAAATTTTTATGGGACGCATTATGTTAGTTACGTAGATCTTTTGTAAATTTGTAACCAAACATTACTAATTAGTCAAGGTTTTATAAATTATGCCTGTACTGAAGTAACTTTACTGCGTTACTATTATGTATGACGTTTGATTGTAAAATTGATAATTACTTTGAGATAATTGTTTTCACTTTCATCGGTAGTCATAACATCGTTATGAAAATGAAATTTTTACCTACAATTGCGGCTGCATATATTTCTTTGCAATAGCACAATAAGAGAATATCTTTGAATTTTTTTTTTTTTTAAATATAGCGGTAGAGACTTGGATAACAATTTTGTTTGTTCTTTTTCTTTTTTACAATATTGAAATAATTTACCAGCCTTTTTATTATCTTCTCTCTGATTGACAGCTAACGAATCTTTATCGATATTTATGATTACATAAAATTCCGATAGTGACATTCTTCGAGTTTGAAATTATGACTAATAGCCGAGGGTTAACCGTTAACTATTTCTATTTCATATCGCATTAAGCCGAAATATATTTGAAGAAAAAAAAAAAAAATTAATGATGAAATTGGATAGGACACATAAGTAAGTTATTACAACTTAAATGTGTTTACTAAACAATTTAATAGCCTTTATACGACACGATTCACTTATTTATTGCGTATTATCCGAAGTTTAAGCTATAAAATCGATGGACATAATAATATATATTTCAATGCTATCCTATCGAGCTGCATTTCAATATTAAAAATCTTCGTACTTTCATTCGATATAAATATAGATAATCACACTCGCGCTGATAAATAAATGCCTTTTTCACACTATCGAGAAAAGATTCGCATTTTGAATAGCTGTGCTAAAAATAATTTGCACGTGTAGCAGATGCTCCTGGGCGTGAATTCTCAAAATTGCTTTTAACGAAGTCACAGCTATCCAATTCAATTCATAATTCATCAACAATGCAACACGATGATTGTATCAGATCGTAATTTGGCATTCTTCTTCCAAACTTTCGTCTATCAATAAATTCATCCTAATACTATCGATGTAATAATATACTCGCTTCCCTTAATACGCTCACCAATGTAAATTCTAAGGCTCCCTAACGAATATACTTATTTAGCAGCATTTGGAACTTTTACGTGAGTAACTCGTGTTTGGTTACATAAAGTTCGGGAACGCATTATTCAAAACTAACGGAATGCCAGATCACGTTTATTTAGTATTGGCACATTATCGTTTCAATGGCTTTTAACGCTACGTAATTAAGAAAAACAAACACTCGTTTTCAACGAAACACAATAATAGTAAACGTAAAAAAATGAAAAAAAAATACAACCACATTTCTTCATCATTGACCGCGGCTTTTAATCATGCTAGGCTGTATTGGTTAATGGAATAAGAATTTACAACATCACTGTCTAATATAAGAAACATTAAATTATTATAGGCATTATTGTTATTTCAGCCTTGAAATGCGAACTTCATTTGGAATATTATTTTACGATCTTCTGCGTACGCGTATGCGCAATATCGATATTTACACATTAAGAAGAATGTCTTCTGTAAACACATAACTAATTATAATATAAAATTGCGAAATGAGCAGATATATGTGTTATCCCATATTTTTTATTTATTTTATTTATTTATTATTTTTTTTTTTTTTTCAATTCCTTCGCATACTATCGTTATAACAGAAGTGAAATAAAATGTTTTCGTTTAACTTATTGGTGAAACTAGCTGAACTGTTAATATGTCGTCGTGCATCAACAACAGTACCTTACGCATCAACTAAACGATTACTATTATAGCTTAAAATGTATCTTTGGCTTTTATTTCATAAAACTGCTTACATCGCTTAAGCCCAACAGTGGAATAGCATGTTTTTATGCAATTTGAAGAACTATTGAGTTTCACCAGTTTCACCAATATTGAAAGCAACGTTGAGAGCAATTCTCATAAGCACATGTTAATAATGCAATGAGGCCTGTAGACTAGTTACTCGTTCGTACTTACATCGTTCAATTTGCGTTCGACACGACTCGTGGAGAATTATTCCATTAGGCGGCCTCTTTGCGCGCTCCATTGATTGCACTACAATGTTTTATGTTAAAGACAACGAGAGGAAATTTCCTGTATAGCAGTCGCGACGATGCTGACTTATCATCTAAATGGGCAAGGGCTACTTGCGCTACCACGTTTCGTCCGAACTGGAAGAAATTGACATTTTCTTGCTTTGACTCGCCAAACGCTTTACATAATCAAACATTAATTTTTTTCTTCTTACTTCAATTTGGCACTTTAATAGCTATGAAATTACCAGGGGCTCCCTTACTTTACTTTCTCATGCAGCCTAATTACTTTTCCTCTGCAATATATATATATATATATATATATATATATATATATATGTATATGCATATATATATATATATTCGATACACTTATTAACAACCTTACATTCATAGGCGCTGGACTTTAGAAAAATATTTCATAAATAGTTAAAGCCTGCTGTTGTTGGAAAATTCAAGCTGCGGCATTTATGCTACGCAAACAATACTTTTTTATCGATCTAATATTTATTTAAACAAAAAGCCACGGAGCTTTAAAAGTGTAATTTAAAAAAAAAAAAAAGAAGAAAAAAAATGAAAAAAATGAAACATAGCGATAACAAGAGAAAATTTCAAACAAAAGCTTTTTATCTTTCGAAAATAACCTTCGATTGTAGTTTAATACTTATTCCATGAATTATAAGAAATTTTTTGTTTGATTCTTTTCATTTTTATAAGCTATAGAAATTATACAAACCCATATTATAATAATAATAATACATGATAAACAAGCGATAAATAGTAGGGATACGCGCCTATGATGCTACGTCGAATTAGGTATTTTCGAATCAAATTTTCATTAGAAATTTTGATGCTTGAAGCGCTTGGAAAAGTACATCGGGTATTATTGTTCGCTCGGCAAACTAATGTATAAACTAATGTATAAACAAAAAAAAAAACAAAAAAAAACAAAAAAAAAACAAAAAAAAAGAACCACCAGCGAGCTTTATCTAACAAATCAACAAATCGTCCAGTAATGCCGGTTTTCAAGTTCGCTTTCCTAATAAAATGTACGGGGCAGTCGGTCGAGCAGACGCGGAAACTCGTTCGAGCTCAACAGGCCCGACAACGGCTCCTTCCCCTGCACATTTCGTCAAAATCCCCACTCGAGCGCAACTCGCAAACGCATCGAGCGCCGAAAAACGAAATCTACGGCGAATCCCCCCCCCCGCCCCCTCTCCGCCGTCCGACCGTGCCACGCCGGCTCACGGCCCCCGCACAATGCAACACGACATGTGCATGTGCGCGCGAAACTTTGTCCGTTATGTCATTGGATAGGAGCCACTCGACGTCTCCATACCTACGACTACTCGCCAACCTGAAAATATTCGGCGTCCATTCGGAAGAATTAAAAACTTAGATTGGAAGCTTTTCTTACCAATCGATCTTACGCGTTTGTCGTTTTAATAAGCAACTTTTCACGCGATTCCATGACGATTCGACGACGGGAAGATGTATTTTATGTATCGCGAGCGATTATCCGAGACGCTTTTGTACTTTTACGCGATGAAGAATGAGGAATCCAATGGCTCGCGACAACGTCATTATGCTGCTATTTCATGTAAAATATTACTCGACTGTATCCGCGTTAACGAGTGTCGTTCAATTACGCAGTAAAGAATAATTTCTGATGAAATAATAACAATCTGTATCAACCCGGTATTAAGCAACACACCAATGTTCACGTTCATAATGTGTATGTAAATAAAAGGAGTAAAGTGAAAGAACGATGTTTGGAGAAACGTAAAAAAGTTCGAGCCAACGTTCTGCTAATAAAAATCTGGTAGTAATTTGTTTCGCATATCGACGCTCAATAATATTTATTACTGGTAGAACGTAACGGAAAATAATGGTTCGCAATAATTTATTGTATACATTGAAACGAGTATCGTAATTTTTATAAATGAAAATAAATCATTGGACATTGGTGTGTGCGTATGTAAGTAAATAACCGGTATAATTTCCTTGTGCAATTAAGGTTATTATAACGAGAATTTCCCGCTATAAATAATATTTATTTACATAGAAGTAGAATTCTAGTGTAGAATATTTATGGGACGGTAAAATCTATAAAATTTAAAGCAATAATACTAAGCATAAATACACATTTATTTAAATCTAAAATCACTTTCCTTGGAAAACACCTGATAAAATGCATTTTGTCAATGTAAATAGTACTTAGACAAAGCTTCAATGTATTATATAATGTTAGAAAATCCGATTTTCTAAATATTTAGTGTTAATTTTTGAAATATTTCTGTACTGAGCTTCATTGGCAAGAGCTTAGCATAATATTTGCGACGCAGCTACAAGAATTTTTCGAAAAATTACGAGCTTTAAACCGTCGATCGCTCCAAGTGAAAAATAATCATTATTGCGTAAATATGCTCAAAATAAAAATAACGCGCACGGGCGCGCAATATATATATATATATATATATATATATATATATATATATATATATATGTATAGACGCATTAATAAGTAAGCATCGTTTCACAGTAGACTTGCTTGCCCAAGTGGCGAAGTAAGTCGAGCCCAAACAAAATAAAGCTAATAGCCGCTCGTCGAGTCGACGCTCCAGAAGTGCGGACAAGTCGCGGAGCATATCGAGGTCGCGGCAACGAGGGCATCGCCCGTGTCCAAACAACAAATCCGAACCTCGAGGCGAGGACAGCATAGTACGTAAGGATACTCGAGAACGATGACTCGCGACGTCAACTCCACGGCTCAGCGAACATTTCTATACAGAGAGCGACGACGAGTCGACGAGCGTGAATGGAGCGAACAGTTAAAGCGTCGCCGAGAGCATTCATACCGTCAGCATCTTCTTCGGCAACTTTGGGCGGCGCATCAAATCCGAGAATCTAAGAAATATCAACAGCGACAAGCTCGAGGTTTATTCAGCATTTTATGTATATATATATATATATATATATATATATATATATATATACGTAATAGTACGTACATATATGTTATGTGCAATTGAAATAAAAAAAAATAAAATAATGTTCTAATGCTTCAAACGCTAATAAATTATATAAATTTATGCAGACTTTTAACATATCCGGCATATTTTGAATTCTTTCATTTTTCGACGAAAGGCTTACTATAGCCAGTTTAAAATTGTACATTTATCTTAAAAATGGACTGACAAACCCATTAAAATTCATTCCCACCCCTCCCCACCTCACCTCCCTCAAAGAGCCCGTATTGATAAAAGAAGAAAAAATATTGACAATTGTTTTGTAACGTACGAGATCGGAAATACGTTAACGACTGTAACAATTAATATTTAAAATTGACTGGATTAAAACAGTTGATTAAAATGCCCTTGTTCACACATGAAATCTATAATCGAGTGTCAAGAGAAACAATAAATCATTCAAGCGCAAATCCAAGGTAGAATTAAAGGAGCCATCGAAGTGTAATCAATAACGCAGTGGGGGTGAGTGAAAGAGGACCGCCGGTCGACGAGGAAGGAGGATAAAATGAGGAAGGGCGATTTTGGAGGAGCCCCAGAGAATTGAAATATAGCAAATGCATTAGAAAAGAAGCGATAAAAAGCGTCGTCTGGTATTAATCAGCGGGAGCCGGCGTGGGAGGATAGTGGCGACCGAGAGCCCAAGAAATACAATTCAAGTTCAGATATGAGATTAAACATGCGAACAGCGTTTTTAAAGCGCGTATCGACGAATCGTCCAGGTGACGTGGTCGCGCGCAATCTCCGCCCCTCCTCGAGCTTCCGCAATTCCATAGTTTGGGAAAACTGCCACGAAAGAGACATAGAGAGATAGAGAGAGATAGAGAGAGAGAGAGAGAGAGAGAGAGAGAGAGAAATCGTTGCTTCTCCAATGAATGTAGATACTTTTTATTGAAAATACAGTTCTATTTTTCTCTAAGTTGATCGCTCAGGCGTTGACGTTACACGCACGCGAGCACTTACGCCTGTTTGTATGCATAAATGGGCGTGTGAGTTTGCGTTAGCATGTATTGTATGACAAATTATATGTATATCTGGTTACAAGAAGTTACAGTATCGTAATATATAAAACTTTACGCCGGTAAATAAATACGACTACGTCTATTATCTAATGCAGAATAAATATCGGACAGAACTGAATGTTTTGTTGAAATTCTATTAGGGATTGATGCGCATATCGAGGACAGTGAATTTATGATTTGCAAGTGGATTGGGTTGTATGTTTATAAATACGTATGAGATTAGAGTGCACTTTCCATTTAGTTCTGTCCTACTTTCTCGCCCGAAAATTTATCGATAAAGCGAACGCCGACGACGCATTTTATAATAACAAAGTGCGGTTTATTGGAATTGCGTCAATTGCTTAGTCCTTTAAAGTAAACGGCTTTATAGCTGTGAATCCGTTAAAATATTACATGAAAAAAGAAAGAAGAAGAGTAGCACATAGTAATATTATCCCCGTTTGTCTATTTTTCTATTTTTTTTTTCTCTCTTGCCTCCTCCTGTCGGCTGATGAAAAATATATGATATTTAATTACATTATACGATTATAAGTGTACGCATTTGGTACAAAATGAAATTTTTCTTTCCTTCAATCGACGAATCATTCGTTTTTAAAATAATAAAAGTATTCGCAAATACAATTTACGATAAAGTAAAAAATTAATAATTATAATTATAAAAAGAAGCAAACCACAATTTTCCAATACATCCATTTCAATATTATAATTAAGTACGCATTAATGCTAAAATAGATGTTTCTCTTCGTATGAAAATAATTTTTGGCACAAGGCGATATTATTATCGAAGTTAGGCTGTTATCATATGTGTGTGTGTGTGTGTGCGCGTGCGTGCGCGTCGTGTGTCGTGTGTCGTGTGTCATGTGTCGTGTGTCGCGTGTACGCGTGTACGCGTGTGTGTGAGTGTGTGTTTGTTTCTGTGTAAATGACGAAAAATCAAAGGACGAGCTTTTTAAGATGCATTGTCCGTGAATGGGTTCGGTTCAGGTTATTTGATCTTTGGTCATCGGTGCGGCTAAAACGACCTATATTTGCGAATAGATGATTACTACGTCGCGCACTTTTACATTTATTCACTCTTATAATTCCTTCTTTATATTTTTATGTTTGTTGTCTGTTGGTGCTGTTGTTGTTTTTATTATTGTTTTTGTTTCTTCTGTACAACATTGTGGAAAATTCTCCAACGACACGAACATCCCAAGATGGGGATTAGAGCATTGGAGCACATTCTGCAAGAAAAATAAGATTTCGTTAATTACTATACATTAGATAATTATACGTAAACCACATACGCAAAAATTGTAAAAGATTATATTTGCGTCTGGAGTATGTTTGTTATCGTATCTGAAAATTCATTTTACTAATCATTTGTTGGAAATATTACTAAATCGTGCATCGATCGTCATTTAATTACATTTTATTATAAGTACTACTACTACTACTACTACTACTACTACTATTTTTGATGATTTTATTTTATAAATGATACGTCCAGATAATACAATTAATTAAACTAAGTTGAGCATTAAACAAAAACTTTCATTTTATGAAATGGAATTGTTATGCAAAGTAATTACTATTAATTCCAGATGAATCTTGGTTAAATTAAGCAAGAACTGTCTTTAAATACATTAAATAAATTACAATAAAAAAAAAAAAAATGAACGCTTTTAATTGCTTTTAAACAAAAATTTCATTATTTGATTGTATGTTTAGAAAGTTTTAAATGAACAAATAACGAAGCTCGGAACATTAACAGTTTTTACCTTGCTAGAATTTAATATATCGAGACTCATATTCGACTGTTAATATAGGTAACGTTATAACTTTTTCAATGAATTCGAAACTTCAAAGTGAAACTTGTAACGAGATAACCTAGATTGATATTGCCATGAGTTTGGCTAAAAAATTCGGAAAAAAATTGAAAAAGAAACATCCAAACAACTTGCGAATTTACATCATTCAATTACGCCATCATAATCAATGTCGTTTTATTTTCATTTTTCGCGAATGCTATTAGCCATTAGGTTATATTCGCTCAAATATTTCAACACGACGAGCTTTTTTTATAAATTTTTCTGAATTGATAAGTAATTAAAGCTTCGCACACATTTTAGAGCAATAGGTTATCGATGAGAATGGACGTTAATGCAATGCGCAACGCCCGATGGCCAAGCAATTACGTCGATAGATCTTATTAATTCCCATAATAGCCAAAGTATCCGAATGTAAACACATTGCCAAAAGCTGACGTCCACCTTACTCACACTCGCTTATCCAATATCTCCACCCTCAAAAGCATAATTAAATATCTTAGGACGCGTGAACGTTGAATTTTCGTGTATTCTAAAGCGATTAAAGTACGCGTCTCGATATCGCGGCTACTCGCAACGAAGTCCGAACATAAACAGCAACGCGAAGATAAGGTCATTCATGTTTCACGAATAGAACGTGCGGTCTTTAAAAAATGACAATGACTAGAATAGTCCCGACAGTGGGTGGACGGGACAATGAGTCATTAGACGCGGAGAGGGGAAAGGATGCGGGTAGACTCACTGCAGACAGCGCAATTGGTTTCGTCGGAGTTATCGCCGCAGCCGTCCTTGCCGCTGCAGGTGATGGCGTCGGAGCGGCATCGTCCGTTGGCGCACTTGAAGGGGCAGTAACGGGGCGAGAGGCGGCTGCGGTTCCGGGTGCGACAGGCGCCACGAGGCTCGTCGCTGCCGTCCCTGCAGGAGACGACGGCGTTGCAGAACTCGTAAGCGGGCAGGCACTGGCCATTATTGCAGCGGAAGGCCCCGTCCGGACATTCTGCGGACATGGATGAAGCGACGTGCTTAGTACTGGACTAGCAACTTCGCGCAAAAGCCTCTTTCTACACGCGAGGGAGTCCTCTAAAACTTGCCGTTATCGCGTTTGGAGTCGATTTTAACGAGACTCGCACACTCGCTTATCTACCGAACGATGCTCGCGTTTCTTTCTTTTTTTTCTCTTTTATCTGTTTTTTTTTCTTGGCTGCTGCGCCCTCGTTACACTTATGGACGAGCCAAGTTTCTTACTGCTAAGTACTTGGGGCCTCGTTTAGTGGTCGAGGGACGAGGTTAGCTCGATATCCTCAGGGCACCCTCGCACTCAAAACACATTTCGTGGTTTTTAGGGGATCAACGATCGAATCGTCTAATGATCGTTTAGTGATCTTTTCAAAGGTTGAGTCGTCTATTAAAATAAATATAGATCTGAATATAAAGCTGGGAAATTAAATCGCGCTAAAGACACTTTTGATACATATATTTCATATAATTTAGCAACGATGTTGAATTTCGAATTTCGAGAAGGAAGTTTCGCAATGACCGAGAGATTAAAATAGGTTTTGTCAGAGAGAGTAAATGGCGTTTAAATAATTCGCCGGAAGAAGTATCGGCTCGCTGTGGCCGTAACATCGAGTAATAAATGCCAATCAATTTCTCCCTTAATTGTAAATGCATTATTGTTATTATTATTATAGTCTGATTATTCGACCAAAGATATTAAAACCGATGGGAGTGAGGAGCTTTGAACCGAATCGCTCGATAAAGTTACGAATATTCCCAGGAAATTATAAGGCCGCGTCCAGCGTGGCAGAACCACAACGAGTCCAGAAAAAACGGTGATCGAGAGAGTCGCGAGTCTCGTCGCAACTGAAGGAGGCACGTCGGAGTCGGTCGAAAGCAAATGTCGTCCGGTTCGTGCGCGCGCGCGCGCCCATCTCCCCCCCCCCCCCCCGAGAAAGAAACAAATCACCAACTTCTCCGGTCGCTACATCCGGCCTCATCCTCGGCGTTGGGACAGTCCCTGGTTCCGTCGCAGAGCGACGCCCTGGACACGCAGGTGGCGCTGCTCTTGCACCGGAAGGCCTGGGCCGGGCAGTCGGACTGGAGTCTGCCGAGAACGCAGAGCTCGTCGGAGCCGTCGGCACAGTCGTGCCGCCCATCGCACACGTAGAACCAGCTGATACAGGCGCCGGTGCCGCGACACTGGAAGGTACCAGGGGCGCAACCGGTCCTACGGGCGCTGCACCAGGTACCGTTGCCGGCGCGGCGCGCGCACTCGCAGACCCCATCAAGACAGCGGGAATTCGGGTCGGCCATACGGCACTCGGCATCCCAGGCACAGGCCAATCCCAGAGACACGGGGCTGAAGGACTCGCCCTCGTGTCGATCGGTCTTTGTTGGAGCCGCTACTGAAACATCGACATCGGCGATTAATCAGATCACATTCGATCAGTACGGCCGTTTAATGTTCTGCTGATTGCTTTCAGTCGAATTTCAAGCAGCTAGGGGACTGCTTTTGGTTATCGTGTTTCTTTTTTGTCTCCAAGTTATGGCAAATTTTAATCGGCCACGAAACAAAGTGCTCGGTTTATCGATCGGCTATTGAAGAGCTCAATGATTTACAGACTTTTATTATTTAAGAAGACACGCCCAAAATTTGCACAATTATTACCTGCATTATTATTATTATTATTATTATTATTATATATCGTCGTGAATTATGGGATAGTTTTACGGGAATCGGAAATATTTGCATGATATTTAAGTCGATTGTAATTACAATTGGTTTAATTTCGTATCGATAACCGGACGGTAAGTATTGACGCGGTGAATCTCGACTGCCTCTCACTAATTGAACTAATTCAATAATTAATTTACAACAAATAGCAGGATAGTTGCACCTTTCGAATTATTAGACGTCATAAATGAATAATAATGGACAGCTTATACGAGTATACTCATAAGCAACTGCTCTCGATAAATCCTCAAACGATATTGATTTAAGACCTTAACATATAGACATTGAATACCCGTAGTTGAAGTTGTAGTAGTTTGCGGGAGTTCCGCAATATCAGCTTCGACGACGATAGAGTCATTATCCAAAAGTTCATTTGGTTGCAGTTCTGCACGTAAGGAAGGTCTAGTGACGAGATTTATTGGCATTAACTGTGTGGGTGGTACTGTCGACAGAAGAATCGTAGCATTCCGTAACCAGGACAATTGGACACCTACATTTAAAGAAGATTTATTATTATTAGCCACGGCTGTTGGCCTTAATCGCGCATTCATTGACCAAAAATATATATAAACAAATTCAATCAGAAATTATAATTTTTTTTTTTCTTTCAAATTCTACTTGCCATAGTGTGAACTTATCCAACAATAAAGTAATTGAAGTGTAATATTTTGTGATGGTAAGTAATTTACTATGAATGAAAAGAAAGAAATACTTTAAATAGAAATCACCTTTACTTAAGTATAACACTATTAATAAGTTGATATTTGTCGATGTTTTGGATCTAATGAATTGTTTCTTATTTAAAGTGTAAAATTTAAAGAATAAATATTTATTATAGTATAGAGCGGTTAATATACTGATCATAATTTTATATTTCTTTATAGAAAAAAAAAATCATAAAGTAATAAATCAAAGAATAATAATAAGTCAATAGCAGATATAAATTATGAAGTACATTTTCTATGTAGATTAAAAAAGTATATATTGTTATTGATTGAAAGAAAATTTATTATTCGTTTAAATTATCATTGTTCACCTTATTAAAATTACCTGTAAAATACAAAAATTTCAGAATTGTTCCGTTCGCTAAATCGATGCAGTTTTTTTCTATTAAAACGAAAAGAGTTACAATATTGACATTTCCATTATAATTAACTATAAGAATAGTACTTTTAACGCACTACAAAATTGTCAGTTTAATGAAAGTTTTATTAAATAAAATTCTTGAATTCATTCACAATTCAAATTCTCGAATAGAATAAATTAATTCAAAGAATGCAAGAAATGAAATGCTTAATATAATTATAAAAATAATGCTGTACATAAAAAAATTTCTCATTTAATTTACGATAAATTTATTCGTAAATTTATGCTTTAATTAGAATTTTTACTTTGAATAAATTTTGTAATGATGCAGTACAAAAAAAAAATTAAACTTTTAAATGAGGCATTAATATGAATTATATCGATAATTTTAAACGCTCGTAGTGATATTATACATCCGCAGTATCATTTTACTTTTAACCTTATTATATATGTTTGTGAAGATCCATTAATAAAAGAAAATTAATTTTTTCCATTTATAGCAACATGTTCTGTATAATGTTTTTGTTGTTTATTTTTTTTTCTTTTTTTTTCATACACATTGATGTGGTATGAAACAGAGAGAGAGAGAGAGAGCCTGACAAAAAAAAAATAAATATCGATCACCCATGAGAATTATATATTTTCGATAAATTATATATAAAAATATCAAATAATAGAAACTTCATTATTACACTCGATAATAATTTCTCTTGATTATTTTATAGCTCAAAGTTTACACGAGAGTGTAAATGAAAATCAACGGTACATGCATCGCACCTCGAACGCATTTCAAAAGCCGAAAAATACGAGCTCCTTGCGCCGATAAAGTAAATACGAAAGTAAATCCCAGCCCCAATTGGCTATTCAAACTTAGTTGAATTGGCTACTTGAGAAGGCAAAATAGCGATAGTGTCTCACAGAGAGAGAGAGAGAGAGAGAGAGAGAGAGAGAGAGACGCGTCCACACGCACGCACAAACTCACCAGTGTCCTCCTCGTCAGGCGTTGCTGTCGTGAAACCGGCGTCGCGGCGCGTCCCTGCGTCCTCGAGCTCGTTGTCGCTGGCCGGTGGATAAACGGGTTGTAGGCTCACAGGTACCGGGGGCCTCACCAGTCGGTCCGGGCGACAGACTTCACCATCCTGACGCATCGGAGCCGTACATTGACAGCGCCCGAACAGATCCGGTATGAGAAAGTCGCAGTGGGTGTCGCTGTCCCAGAGCTGGCAGTGAGCGTTGCTGTAGCAGACCTGGCCCAACTTTGCCGCTGCGTCGACAGAAAGTCGTCATGTGAGAGCCCTGGGAGAGGAGGATGCGGAGGAGGCCGACGAAGAGGTAAGAAGGGAGAGGCGAGGCGATCCGAGAGACGGGAGATTACGTCGGCGCCGATCGCCGCGCGATAATAATGATTGAAAATCCAATGAGCCGCCAGTGGCTTTTAATCTGGCCCTTTTTCTCATAAGCGAGCGTGTAAGCGCGTTAATCACAAGCTGCTGTGCAACGAGAATTTTTAATCGGCGTTCGCTTGCGCTGAATAACAGCGAAGCATTTAAATTGGAAATTCGCCGGGAGAAAAATGCACGCTTTTCCAGCGCCCACGAGGATAAATAATCTGATTGGACCGATGGCAATTCAATAATAGCTGAGAATTACATCGCAAATATATATATATATATATATATATATATATATATTTATTTGTGAAAAGGAGTCGTCGATCGAGGCGGATAGGTCATGGATACCCATCGTACGATCTACAAACTTGTCGCAAAGATGACTTTCCAGTGATTAGTTTGTCGCGACCGCGAACCTTTCCAATCGATAAATAGTCGTCTCTCGACTGCCTATTCGTCCGACTCGGCATCCTAGCTGCGGGCATAACTCTCGCAATTTTTCCTCTCTCCTTATTAAATCTGAGAACTTACTGAGAATTTATTTTTACGATTTACGAAGGGATGGCGCTTATCGAGAAAGCCAAACTGTAGCTACCAAATGGTAAAAAATGTAATTCGTATTTTTAAAGAGAGATATTATGTTCCTAGTATTATCATCGTTTAGCTTAATTAAAATCATAAGCTCGAGAGTTCAAATGGGAATACCGACGGTTAATATCGAATTTTTATTTAAAATGTATTATATTAATTTCAACAATTTATTTCATAAATATATAATAGCGATGCTTGGTTTACAATTAATTTACTATTAAGAGGAGCTATTTACGGGCTCGTGTAGCCTTCGAGATGTTAAGTACTTCGACCAGGAATAAGGGATGATAAATCACGGGAAGTACGCGGTAATTTATGTAATTGCCGTTTACTACTCTTACTCGGCGCATTAACGAGATCTATTGTGCACATCCAAGCCATTACACTCGCGTGGCTCTTCGATATATCCGCGTGGCGGCGGCGATGGCGGCGATGGCGGCACGTAAAGGAGGTTGAACCACCCGCCAAATCTTGCTCGTAATCAATATATCGGGCTGATCATATTTTTTTAATCCTGTGGGGATCATCGTGAGAACCCAAATTTCGTTGTCCGCGTTCAACCACCAGCTGCAACCGTTGAAACGACTTAACTCCTCGCGTGCCCGACGTCTGTCCTACCGTCAAATCGCCTAATCCGCGCGCGTGCACTTTGGCGCATACACGATTCACCACGTAGATCCAATCGAGGAATCTTCAGCCACGGCGAGACATAGAACGATAGAACGTGAGACAAATTTCGATTGCATTAGCCTTATGAGTCTACAGCAACGGTGACCGACATGTTTTTAAGCAATAATTCGCCCTAAGTGTAATTTGTCTTGATGCTTCGTGCTCTTTATAACGTACGCTTACATCTTGAACGATAAAGTAAATCTCTGTTAAGTTTGATGCGACTATTCGTACATTATTAAGTTTATTTGGCGCTACGTTATATGATTATATGATGTATTCTTCACGATGAAGCTTAATGAAGAAGTACCACTGTATTAAACTTTACAAGATATTCTTGTGAGAAGCTTTAAGATAATATTTAACGAGATTTTAAGTAAATTGATGAAAATATTTGTACTGCATGCTGGTGTGTAAGCAAAATCTATAGTTAAATTGAAACACTGATAATTTCAACAATATTCCAGACTGTTTTGAGAAACTCTTTTGTTTATATAGGTACTTTGCCCTGATATTAGTCGGAGGAGTAACTTTGAAAGTAGATATTTCTAGTCTAAAACTGGCAAATCCACCCATTAATAACTTAATCCCGTTCTATATACATAAACCGAGTATAATATGGATTAAAAGATATGTTTGTAAATTTCACTCGAGTTGTTATCAATATTGATATAATGCAGTTCAAGTAATGGAAAAGAAAAAGAAAAAAAAAGGGCTTTCGATGTTGCCGAATAATATGGATCGCAAACAATCTCATCCTCGACAATACTTTAAGCGCGAAGAAATTGAGTCACTATGACGACCAGTTAGTTGTAGTGAGGCGCTCGTGGAGTCGTAAAAAATATTCTGCACGAGCGGCTACAACTCGCTCAGATTTTGTCGCATAACGGATCTTACGAGTCTCGAAACTCCTCAAGACCTGAGGCGTTATTATCGCGTTACATAATAAGCCCATAAAGGACCGTTAAAAATGAAAGGAATCCCCGTTCTACGGGAGTACATTGAAAAATGTTCCTCGTAGACAAAGAAAAAGTTGCGGAACTCTGGCCGATTTCGGTCAGAGTTGAAATAGTTCGGGTAGTAGTAGTAGTAATATGCAAGAATCTGAAAAGTCAAGTATACTTACGGCTCAAGCACGTATGCCGGCGGTACTGCAAGTATCCCTCCTGGCACTTGCACTGGTTCTCGTGGCAGCTGCTGTTGGCCACCCTGAGCGAACATTGCTCGTCCACCATGCATCCGTAGCCCAACAGGGTTGCTATAATTAGATAAAGAAGTCGAACATGTCGAGCAATGCCTTCGCGCATAAAGAAGTCGAACAGGTCGACCAATGCCTTCGCGCGGAACTGTGCTTCCTCTCCACCCACCCACCCACCTCCGCCCTCCTCCTCCTCCTCCTCCCCCTCCTACTCATCCTCCTCATCCTCCTCCTCCTCATCCCTCGCAGCCCACGCCGGTCCCCCGCGCAATTCTGTCACGCCCCCAACGTCCGCCGTCCCGTTCCCATCCGCAATCCTCAAAACCCGACACGGAGCCGAGAAAAGCACTGCCGACTAGTGATTCGATAATAGCGCTAATTGAAAGTCCCTGTTCCCGAACTCAATTAGCAGCCGGCGCTCCGAGCTCAGCCAACTTTTTCTCATGCGTGCAGCCGCGGATAGATAAGCTGCAAAATAACCAAAAACACCAAAGAGCTCGTGTAGCTTGAGCGAAAATTGCGACAGCGATTATCGTAGAGCCTTATCAATTTTAACATAAATCCCATCTCATGCAGTCCGCAGCAAAAATTCGCTTTATTTATTTACAGATGATAAACAAGCGTTTCGCTTGTATGAGCAAGATTACCCGTAACTCGTACATACTCGCCGTTTGTCTTTATGCATATATGCATGATTTTATCGTTGTTGTTGTTGTTGTTGCTGTTTTTTTTTCTTTTATAACGACTGGATTACGTGTATATTTTTACATTTAAATTTCCGTCGAATATTTCTATGGATTCGTCGCAATAATTGGCGAAATTAGCAGTGAAAAATAAAAATTAGCAAACGATTCACTACCGTTATATGTACATAGATTTGCAACGTCCTTAATCAAAATTTTCTCATTTAAATAACGTACAACGAAGGAAATTTTTCTAAACGCGTTTCATAAACCGAGTATTTCATTTTTAAAACATATGTACGAAAATTGTTTTTTTTCTTTTTCTTTTTTTTTAATACTCAATATTATTCACAATTTAGAAATAAAAAAAAAATCAGTGGATAGAAATATTTGATGTAAGTAAGGCGAGGCAAAAGAATTAAGAGTTAATGTACAAAATTAAATGACAAAGCTCAGAAATACGTTAGAGAGAAATATACGAGTTGGAATATTAGCGCGAACAAGTTTGTCCAGCTCAAGAAATAAGACATTTTCATATTAAAACTTTTCGCATTTATAAAATTACCTTCCACTACTTGGTGCGCTCAACAAATGACAATAAAATAAAAGCAATAAAATCACCGGCTTTATAATTATTAAACTAAATAACGTTAGTAAAGGAGCGATAATTAATTTGTTCCTTTAAGCTGAACTCATTTCATATCAACTATTAACCGTAACTAATTTCCTATTCGTATGTATAGTGAACGAGGCGAAGAGCCAACATCCTACATTTAATTTTTTAATTAAAATTTTACAATTACTTTTTGAAATATTAGCTCTACGGCTGCACCTCGAATGAGCAAAAAAAAAAAAAAAAAAAAAAAAAAAAAAAACAGACGGCTCCCCGGCCCACCAGCCCATACGCACAATTAACATAATAAAAAATCATTCCTCCCCATTTTAACAAAAAATTCATTTACGAAGTGAATAAGTAAAGTAAATATCAAAACTGCACAAAGACTCACACTCAAGGCAATGCGTGGCATTGTATTGGGCAAAGAAAGGTTGACAAGTGCAATAGCCGAGGTAACACTGGCTCCGGACGATACTGGCCTCGCAGTCTCTGTCTCTGTTGCATTCGTCGCCCAGCTTCAATAACGAGAAGTCCGTTTGACCGATGGCTGGGCAAATCCATACCATAAGCTGTAAACCAGTAGAATCAAATTATCACTTGTGGCTGTTCTCGTCTCGCGTGTGTCGCTCTCGAACGTATACAACTCGTAATTCATATGGTATTTTAAGATGGTATCTATGATTTTTAATATGCTTATAGGTTCTTTTAATGACAAATTATTGATTGCAAGATAAAATTGGTATTTTATGATAAGCTATTTGCTACTTACAATCAGCCAAACTAACAGCTAAAATTATAAATTAAATTGCATTAAATAATCGAAAGCTTTACGATGTCAGCAGAACGACGTACGATAAATCATTCGTATTAAAATGTCCTCGATTATGTTTAATAAACATACAACGTTCACTCCTCGTAAGACATGCTTGTTTAATTGATATAAATGAGGCAGAGATTCGATAAGTTATTGGAAACTTATTGGAATAATTATAATTAATAGTTGGCGAGTAATCATACCCCTATCTCGATAATGCATATTAATTATCGCAGTCGCTAATAATTTGCACAATTAGTGACATTTTATAATATGACGTTATTAATGAAATTTTAAATTCATCAAGTCGAGTCAACGTTTATGTGAGGATTTAAAAAAAAAAAAAAAATTAAGGAAAATGACTGAAAGCATTTTTCCGTTTGCATGATTATTCCACGATCAAATTATCCGTTTGTTTACGATATTATTAATTAGCCGTAAGCTCCATCGGGAGGAATGAAAATAATAATAAATCATTTCAGCGACAAGGACCATTATCCCTAATTAGTATCCGCTGCTCTAACTATATAGCAAAAAGGACAATTAAACGCTCCAATTAAACATTTTAAAAGGACATATCACGTAAAGCGCGTATTAAAAACTAGTCAATATGATTTCATACATAATACGCAGAATATATGAATGAATAAATAAAAGATATAAAATATTACTGCTTTTATCAATCTTAAAATAACGCCCGACTTACTCGAATATAGTATACTCGGCTGTGCTTTACATTCTGCACTATTTTTATTCGAATGTCCTTGCTTTTGCTCGCCTAGGATGAAAAACGAGGAGGATCCTATCCTACGCAAATTTGCCCCATACATCAAAATTTAAATTAAAGTCGTTTAAATTCGCCTCGAGTTTAGATTTCCGTGAAATTATAATAAAATCTCGGATGTAAGGCCATAGTGCTGGAATTATTTACATAAAAATAATAATCTAATTTCTGCGGGTTATCGTTATTATAAGTATATGAAACGCGTTAAATAACTTGTTTCTGTAAATCGCCAACACCAGTTAGATTTTATGATTGTTCGTGATCTGTTCGCGATAATACTAAGAGCGACAATATTGATCGAAAATTATTCCGGATACCTTACATCGTAACACAAATGACTTGAAGAAATATCTTGCTATCAGTTATTATACACAATATCCTTTATTAAATCTATTATTAAATGAAGATGTATTTAATATATTTAAAATATTAACTCAAATGCATAATCGAAATGCATATATCAGGGTGAATTTTAATATTCGATATAAATAATGGAAGCAAAGTTTCCATGTAACGTGTTTCAATGTTGAAATTCCATTTCATAAGCAAGGATAATATTTAAAATATGAATGTAAAGAGATGCAAGTATACCATAATACCGGAAATTTATATAAATAAACGACAAGTTAAAAAATAAATTTAGAATATATTATTTACGAGAATTTAAATTACTTTGATATTGAGAGATGAAGTTGTAAGAATTAAAAGACAAGTTTAATGTTGATCTGCATTCTTTATTGCAGTTTAAAACTTATGGAAATCGTCTGTTCTCGAGATTAGATGAGAAACTTTATGTGTTAAACAAACTGCAAACAATTTACATTTAACTATACGTAATCTGAAATTCAGCACTCAAAAATTAATGTCATTGATAATTCTTTGTAAATTGAAAAATATAATGAATGTTGAGTGATACTATTATTATAATAGACGTCGATTCAAATGATAAAATTACAAGGTCATAAAATTTATAACAAATGTTAGGGATGAGAATGTTGAAAGCACAGTAGTCTTATTTAAATGTAATTCTTTGGAAAATGCGAATAATTATCTCGCATTAAAAAAATAAAACATATCGAATTGTCATACCTTTTAATTCCATACGTATATGTAAGCCCTTTGCTACCTATTAACATTTCTCGACTGCGAAGTGTCATGTATTATGTAATTTTTTCGAGCATAATTAAAAAGTAAATCGATATTAATAGGGATAAGCCGTAATGTATAACAACGGTAAGTTCAACGATTCATCTTGGAAAGTATCGTCGCGCTCGTTCGATGATGTGCGACGATGTCAAATTGCCAGTGACATGGCGCGCCCAGCGTTCATTCAATCGAAAGCTTATGATCGGATAAAAGTTGCCGGTCCTAAGGGCAAAGTACAAGACTCACGGCCCTTGCAAACACCGCTCTCGCTACAATCGCGTCGCGCGCTACTTTCTGGACTCTGTAAGCGCGCGGACCGGCTAATCGCTTCCCTGTTTCCCACGATCTGCAAACAATGCTCGTCTTCCCATCCCGCCCCGCTCCACCCCTCGCCCACCATACTCTCCCTCTTCGTCGTTCTCACCTCCTCCTTCCCTCCTCCCCTCGTCGCTCGCGTCGCGCCACGATCGTTCTCTCTCTCTCTCTCTCTCTCTCTGTCTCTGTCTCTCTCTCTCTCTCTCTCTCTCTTCCCTCGCCTGGACGAATAGATATATAAATGAAGAGGGTGGAGGGGGGAAGCGCGGAGGAGGATAGCGAACGCCCGCCAAGCAAATAAGAAGAGGCGAAAAGGAAAAAAAGGATCACCGTGTGCATGCGAGGGAACCAAGAGCCGACAATTGCCACATGGAATTTGCGTGGGGTGGCAGACACGATAGTGCCGATAAATCGTCCCCTGTTATCGGAATTCCCTTGTCCCCGCGACCGGTTTTTTTTAAGTTCGCGCGCCGCTATTTTCCGATTTTATAAAGCCGAGCGTGACTATAAATTCCTAGGATCGCGCGAGATACGCAACTCTTATAACTATGGAAGGTCATTAGGATGCGCGGCAGTAAATTTTCGGGATTCCTTCGGGCGTTTGTTCGTCCGTGGAAGCGCGTGTTTACGCATGCGCCGTTGCTTTATACCCGCAGTGACAAATTTATAAGCCGGAAAGGCTAGTGTTATGTAGGAAAAAGAAAAACGAACGAATCGCTGGAAGGGAAAATGGCGAACGCGCGGCCCTTACGAGGTTCGGCTATGGTCGATTAAGTGCCGATACGCTCGCTAACCGCGAGTTGATGACGACGCGTCCCCATCCAAGCACTCGTTAAATAAAAAATTATTAATATAATATTCTCGTCGGCGATGCCGATTAATTTCCAAGCAAACGCATGCGACTCGCGTACGAACAACTGAAAATTCACAAACAACTCTGGTTTAACAAATCAGACGCTACACATTTAATTATTAATCTAACACCCCCCCCACCCCCCACCTCCCTCCCCTACTATTGTACCATACGGCACATTGTTCCTCACGCTATTCGCGAACAAAGTTCTCGATGAGACACGCTGATAGTGTCAAAGAGAAAATTACAGCTCCTATAAAAGGAGAATGTACTCGCACCATCGGGTAAAAGGCCACGCAGGCATTGCCTCCTAAGCGCACGTAACTTGGGGATTCGAGAGCCTCCCGAGTGTGGGCATCACCTTATCACAATAAACCAACAGAAATACCGAAGCACGTTCCGTTAGCCTTTTGTTATAACTTTGATTGCTTCATTTTACACGGGCACTAGACTTTCAACGCGACTGCACCTCGGCGCATCGGTCGCTCCTACGCTCTCGCTTACGAAAAGCCAAACTCTAGTTAGCTCGACGATCACTTCTAACTACCAACACTAACGAACGTTTCCTCTGTCAACCGGTGCATTATATCTCTACGCGGGCAAAACGACGCTGCAATCGACCACAAGACTCGACGGGCTGACCAAGGAAGTCGAGAAACGCCGCTCCCCGCCACCACCACCGGCCCCATACTCTACTCTCGCGCGCACCTGAAAAACGCGCGTCGCTGCAAACGAACACCGAAGATCGATCGGTGCATCGCCCCACGGAATCCCCATTGGCTGACGAGGAAAGCGCTCTCGTTCCGCGGCGCAGGATACATTCACGGAAGCGCGCATAATAAGTCGGTGCGCGGTTTAATGCTCGCAACGTCGGCTTAATTACACGTAACGACGCTAATTCACGTGCGCGCGCACATACTCACGAGGCCCTCGATTCTCACGGGGCTGCCTCGCTACGTCCTTGCCTCGGGTGACACGCCGATCCACCCACCTATCACCAACCCACGACCATCCTCGACCATCTCCACATCGGCTACGATCGTTAACGATCGCGTCTATATTTGTCAGCTTGCGTGCACGATAATGTTTCTTGTATCGATGCGCGATCCGACAATCTCCGCTACGCGATTGCGCCACTCCTACAGATTTTACGGTTTCGCTATTTCGGACGCGTTCACTCGGCACTTGCATTCAGTCGGCGATTAATACTTGGCGACCTTTTGAATGCCTAATGAGACGGTGGCTCTCCTGTTATTTCGGCGAACGAAGTCTCTTTACCGAGTCCCCTGGCCTTCTAAATCCCCGGCTCTTAACTATCCACGCCTGTGCTTCGTTCGTGGCATTCGGCAAGAATTACATTATTATTTAACATGGAACTATCCGAGAGGAATATTTGTAAGTTCCATTCTACAATGTTCGAAGAATAATTTGGACGCATTAATCACAGTCCCATTATCTAATACGAAGATGTTGAAAGTACCGGAGTCTTTTACGACGTTGTGCATTCGGTTGCGTATATTCGTTAATGGTATTCAAAAATTTTTAACGCTTGTTGGAAAAGTAGATGCCTAGGTGCGAAATAGGTGGTGAATCGTTAAACCATCGATACACACTTGTGATATGTCAAATAAGCCGATAAATCAAATAAAAATCACTA